CATAATGTTTGTAAAGTGTTAGGATTCACTACGGAAAGTTGGTTTAAAGTTGAAGCGGTTGAAGTGCATGTTTAGGTCCAAAGACATGATATATTTTGGGTATTATATTTTTCATAAAGGTTTGCAAGTTAATCATGATGTACTTATGGTTGTTTTTAAGCTCCGTACTCCAAAATGTATGAATGATGTGCAATGCTTCTTAGATAAAGTGTAATATCTCAACCATTTTGTTGATCATCTTTTTAGTTATACTACACTGTTGCGAGTATTATTGAAGTTGATAACATCATTTTTCATCTAATTCGTGAATTGTGAGCCAACATTTATAAATCTCAAAGAACTATTAACAACTCCTTTAGTTTTGGCATATCCTAACTACACTCAATTTTTCATTTTGCACGTGAATACTTTTGATATTGATCTTGGAGGTATTTTGATAGAAGAAAGCCCGAGTATGTTTGGTTAATGCTATCTTATTACATATATTAGCCGTACATTACAATTAGCAAAGGTGAACTACTCCACAATAGAAAAGGAGTGTTTAGTAGTAATTTGGGGTTTTGAGAAACTTCATACATATCTACATAATTGTCATACATTGCTAAAAGGTGATCATATTGCAATTACTTCATTATTGAAGTAGAAGAACTTAATTGTATTACTTAGTGGGTTTTGAAGCTTTAAATATATGATTTTGATGTTGTTCATTGCTCGGGGAATTCTATAGCTGATGCTAATGCCTTTTCTCAAACTCATTTTCCTTCTTTATTTTCTTCTCATATTTCTTACAAACTTGTTATTCTAGCATCTGTAGAATTTTTAGATGAGGATTCTATGCCTTAAGCAGTTATTATACTTGATATTTAATGTTCACAAGGTGTGGAACAAAATTTACTTTCTCTTGACAACATTTGTGAGGCTTAAAAAGTTGAGCCGTGGATCTAAAGGCTTTGCAATATTTTTGAAAATCCTATATCACTTGATGGTGACTTACAATTTTCGTATTTATATTTTCAATATCACCTTGAAGACAACTTTGTTTATTTTATGAGGACAGATTCTAAAAATCATTTATGTCTAACGGTGTTTTTGATTTTTTTTCTATGCTTTCTTCACACTTACCATGATTCTCCTTTTCTAATCAGGTCTATAGGATATCATAACTGAAAAGCTACATAAGTCTTTCTATTAGCTGGATATATTATGTGATGTTATTTGGTATATGCATAATTGCATTTGGTGCTAAACTCGTAATACTCTCCCTCATGCTGCAAAAGGACAATTGAAATTGCAATTTTCTATCCATTTGAATTGATGGCATTTGATCTAATAAAGCGTTTTTGACAATCTATTGCTTCCCAATCTTATAGTACGTGGTTTATCTAAGGGGCTTCTTGTTTAGTGGAAGGGACCGTATTGGGTGTTAATTGGACTGCAAGTTTATGAGGTTCGGAATGATGTTCAACAAATTGGTCCTCTAGAAATTGTGCATGTATATTAGCTAAAATACTTCATACAAAGGGATCAAGAATAATTAATACTATATATAAATCCATTGGTCCCTTCTCTTAATATTCCTCCAGATCCCAACCTATCAACTAAAAAACCTTAATTGTTTTCTATCCTTCTAAGAGAAGGGATGATATAAGGTCTAAGTGAGTTATTATGCTACATATTAATATTAATGGCTGTACACTAATTTTAATACTGTCAGATTAGATTGGTTTCAATCCCCTATATATAAGTTAAGGTTTTTGGGCTAATTGATATGCTGATTTTTTATATTCCATTTCCATATTCTATGCACTAACATCAATAAATATTTAGTAAATCTTTAAATATTTTCTAGAAATCAAGTAATATCTTTCCTAGAAATCTTCTTCCACCTTGAAGTGTTATGTATATAGTAAAGGAAAGACTCTCCTAGGGGAAATGTAGATGTTTTTCATATAATTTATCATGTTGGGTAATTATAATTTGTCATCTGTATATATGGTATCATGCAGTATATTCTAATTAAAAAAACAGTTGTTTTTTTTTAAAGAGATAGATTTCTAAATTGTTAAAACTATTAATATTGATTCAAGGAAAGGTGTCATCTGTTACTTAGAAGCTGAGGGACAGCTTAGTGAGGTAGTCTCGGCTCCAATTGCTACCGGGCTATGGAGATCCAGCCCTTGGTACTGGAGCCAGGAACTTCTCACACTGTGACTCACTGCTGGACAGAAGTCTGCTGAGCACCTTTCCAGACATCCAGGTATATAAGTTTGTAAGGTTCATTAAAGGTCCGAGCCAAAAGGCCAGCGAAGTTGATCAAAGAATTGCCAGTAGTAATGAACCTCTTTAATTGATTTTAGATATAAGGTCAGTTCCTTGACACCATCTCCATCGCTACAAAAAAACTTATACTAAACACATATTTGTAAAAGAGAAGGTAGAGAGAATCTTTTCATCTAGGAAAAGGTTATAACGAGGTTAGGTTAAGGGCTAACTAACCTTTCGAGAGAAGATCTATGGCTGTAGAGATGCTTGGTGATCAGCCATGGATGAATGAAGGAGTGAAGATGGACTTCACATGGGCAGCAAACGAATCGTGCAAAGAGAGAGCCTGGTATTTGCAAGAGGAAGAGCTGCTCTACAAGCTCTTTGGCGAAGTGGAGTCGCGAGTAGCTAATGATGATGAGGAAGGCTGGGAGCCCGTTTCTGGGAGTGGAAAGACGAGTTCCGTGGATGAGGAGTTCATGCGAGAGGAGGAGGAGCTTTCTTCGCTCTTTGAGGAAGTGGCCTGGAAGGCAAACCATGAGGTGGGCGATGAAGAAGAAAACTCGACGATTCTAAGAGAGGTGATGGAGCTGCTTGGTCTCACAAGCAAAAGGATTTCCAAACTGTAAATCTCATCTAGAGGTGTTAAAACCAAAGAAGTGCTTTCTAGCAGTAAGACAAGAAAATCAAATGGATTGCAATCTTGCCTCGATTGGAAACCCGTAGAATTTCTGATTTCTTACAAACATAATGAGCTCGTAAGGATCTGTTTGTAAGCCAGCAAATCCAACTTAGTCCAAAGGAAACTTTCTCTAGACTATCAACAGTGACGATTTTGATCGCGTTCCCCAGCCGACAAAGAAAGAAGGAACTTTAAACTTGCAATCGCGAAAGGAATTCCAATGAAAACTCCACTGTATAGAAAGAGACATCAAGTCAAAGAGAGCGTACTGCTACGAATGCAACCAGAAATTAAAAGATCTAGCCCTATCAAAACGGAGGGATCCATTGAGAATTGCTTGGGCGCAGAGAACAAATTTTATGGAGGTCTCATGAAAAGTGAAACGCTGCTGATCTTTTGTACAACAAGGTTAGTGCTGTGCAATCGTAAGAAGCCCTTTGCTCCCCTTTGCTCCTCAGGATCGACGCATATAAGACCATATCACCTCGTGCTTGTTGACATGTTCCAATGCATCTCTGCACCGTCACAGCAGGATTACACTCACCTATCCAGGGCGTTTCGAAGCAAAAGAGATGCTGCAAGCGCGCCTTCAAGAGAATGATTTGGCCACCAATACAACAAGAAATATGTTTTGATAAGCAACTTTGCTTCATTTTCATTGTTTCTATCCTCAATAAGCGACATAAAGAGACCCTCAAGGCCCAGTTCTGCCTGTTTATTGTGGAGTGCAGGAAAGAAAAGGAAGATGGAGCACTTTACCAGGTGCTATTTCTTTGCTTTTGATCAACTATTTCCTCTATAATGCTGGTTCTGCCCAAGTTGAGATGCAGAGAAGCATTGCCGCTAGACACTATGATAGAATGTATTTGGCAGTCTCTTGTGGTCGATACTACACTTACGCAATCCTTGATGTGTATGTTGAAGTGCATGTTTGGAACAACGAGATCGACTACAACTCATACAAAGGTACTGAGCACTATATGTTCTATGTTTCGCCTACTTGCAATACGTTTTTTGTCTGTTTAAACAGCAAGGTGTGCCTCCTTTGGACAAATCAGTGTTGACTGCACGTATGCAAAAGGACTGGATTTGAAACGTAAACAGTAACGAATGAAAAATACTTGGTTGGAGATTTCTCTATGTAGAGGATGAAGTACATGGCTTGTCATTGTCTAATTCTTTCCGTGTGCTGATTGAATGTTTCAGTGGTATGCTCTTCCTGCCGCTAATGGGATGATTGGTCCTGATTGCTTCATAGAGGCCATGCTGAGGATTGTCGTGGGTGACAAAGTTCTGTCTTGGTCCCCGAGTGATTCTAGAAGGGTGCTCTCGAGAAGAGACGAATTTATAAGCTTGAGTCGTGACACACCCACTGCACTGCAATATATAAGGTGCAAATGGCTTCCTTTTCCTTGTTTCAGTCATCAAAAACTAAATCAATTGGCCATGGAAGTGAAGAAAGCTAGCATTTCATTGCTAGGAGCAAAGCAATGTCTCTCCAGCACTTTCAGTTGCCATGCTCAGGGTTCATTCTAAAAACCTTATGACGTTCAACAATCAGTGCACGAAAAAGAAACCCCATGACTCAATTCATCATCTCGAGTACGAGAGTGGTGGCTTAATGCTTTGCCCCTCAGGCGTGGATACAAGCAGCAGACAAGATAACTAAATAATAGCAGACCTTTCGTGAGGAGGAAAGTTGCTAAGAAAATAAAAAAAGCCTCTACAGTTTTCTGCCGGTAACAAACTTCCTTTGATCAAGGTTTAAATGCGGAATGGCACATTTTAACAGTTCTGTGGATCCTTGAGCCCTATATTGCAGTGTCTGCTACTTGTAGCAAGCTTGGAAATTGTCCTAGAATGCCTGAGTTGATTGGGTATAAATCATCTTCGGCAGTGCAGATTTTGACGCACTTTGGCTAGACAGAATTTCTCTCGTGATTGATAAGATGGATTAAACAATATCTTAAAATAAACTTGAATTCTCTCGAATACTCTTTACTTCTTTAAAGAAAAATGTGAGAGAGCAAAAGTAAAAGATTTATACGTTTGGAGCATGCAATCCTTCCGGATAACAACGTCGCCCCTCGCTATAAAAGAAAGCCAACAACCAGGAGCAAAGAGTTCCAGGAAAGCATTTCCTCCTCCTCTAGATCATTGGAGTTGTCTTCTGGATTCGATTGGTGGATCGATCCTGGCTGCTTGGCTTGTTCCCGGTGGCAATGAATGGGGGAAAACATTGGGGAAGAAGCAGACCATCCCGGGGCCGCGAGGATGGCCAGTGCTTGGAGTCTTGACGGAGATGGGAGGCCAAGCCCACCAAAAGTTGCCCAAGCTCGCCGAGAGGTACCACGCCAAAGAGCTCATGGCCTTCAGCCTGGGGAACACGAGGACGATCATCACCAGCAAGCCGGAAGTGGCACGAGAGCTGCTCAACAGCTCCGAGTTCGCGGACAGGCCTCTCAAGCAGTCGGCGCAGCAGCTCCTCTTTGGACGAGCAATTGGCTTCGCTCCCTATGGAGATCACTGGCGTAACTTGCGAAGGATTGCATCCAACTATCTGTTTTCTCCATGCCAGATTGCTGCTCACGAACCATCTCGTCAGGCAGAGACAAGCAGGTTGATAGAAGCAATGAGTACCTTTGTAACTGACAGCCACGGCCTTGTCTGAGTCCGGGACTTTCTCCAGCGAGCTTCGCTTGACAACATCATCCAGACGGTGTTCGGCAGGAGGTTCGAGGATGGCTCTGAGGATGCTGCTCGGCTCGCTGAGATGGTGAGGGAAGGATTCGAGCTTCTTGGTGCGTTCAACTGGGCCGATCACTTGCCAGAAGGCAGTCGACCCGCAGAACATCCTCCAGCGCATAAAACTCATAAAACATGCCCTTAGGAAATTCTGACATATTTTCAATGGAGAAAAATCCTGTACTAGTTGCTCATGCCGCCCAGAAGAATCAGTCGAGCTCGGTGGCTATTCCACCGCGCATTCTTTGATTGATCTTAGATACAGTATTTGTACAGGAAAAGGTGGAAAGAATATTATCATCTAGGAAAAGGTGCCTTAGCAGTATATAATGAGACTAGTTTAAGGGCGAAGTAGACTTTCGAGAGAAGATCTATGGCGCTTGGGTGTGGTGTAGAGATGCTTGGTGATCAGCTGTGGATGAATAAAGGGTGAAGATGGACTTGACATGGGCAGCAAACGAATCGTGCAAAGAGAGAGCCTGGTATTTGCAAGAGGAAGAGCTGCTCTACAAGCTCTTTGGCGAAGTGGAGTCGCGAGTAGCTAATGATGATGAGGAAGGTTGGGAGCGCGTTTCTGGGAGTGGAAAGACGAGTTCCGTGGATGAGGATTTCATGCGAGAGGAGGAGGAGCTTTCTTTGCTCTTTGAGGAAGTGGCCTGGAAGGCAAACCATGAGGTGGGCGATGAAGAAGAAAACTCGACGATTCTGAGAGAGGTGATGGAGCTGCTTGGTCTCACAAGCAAAAGGATTTCCAAACTGTAAATCTCGGGGTGTTAAAACCAAAGAAGTGCTTTCTAGAAGTAACTTCCTAGACACGACATTTGCCTCGATTGGAAATCCGTAGAATTTCTAGAGTGATTTCCTAGAAACATAGTGAGCTCCTAGTGATCTGTTTGTAAGCCAGCAAATCCAACTTCAAAGGAAACTTTCAAGAGCAAATTCCTTCCTCTTGGCGATTTTGATTCCCCAGCTTAGTTTCTTGACAAAGGCTTTCCTAAACGACCTGGTAAAGAGATTAGGCACTTTGAGTCGAACAGAATGAATAAACTTGCGAAAGGAATTCCAGTGAAAACTCCACCCTGGCCTGTATAGAAAGAAAACAGAAAGAGACATCAAGTCAAAGAGAACGTACTGGATCATCTTGGTTTTCTACGAATGAGATCTAGCCCTAGCAAAATGAAGCAAGGCAGCCGCAAGCGGGGCTATAGCAAAATCGCCAAGGCAATGTCTGAGTCTACGGCATATCACATTGGAGTGGAGTCTTTTGTCAACATATGGCGGACTGAGGGATAGTTGCTTGGGCGCAGAGAACAAATTTTATGGAGGTTTGATCTTTTGTACAACAAGGTTACTGCTGTGCAATCGTAAGAAGTCCCTTTGCTCCTCAGGATCTATGCATATAAGACTGTATCACCTGGCGCTTTTGTTGACATCTTCCAATTCATCTCTGCACCGTCACAGCAGGATTAGGGCGTTTCGAAGCCAAAGAGATGCTAAGGGCATGCGACTTCGAGGCTTTGAATACAATGAGAAATATGTTTTGATAAGCAACTTTGCTTCATTTTAATTGTTTCTATCCTCATGATTGTTTTCACATTCATTTTGAAGGCCCAGGATGAGGAGCCTGGCGAGGAGGTCAGAAGCTCGGTTGTGCATTAAATAAAATAATCTGAATGTAGTTTTGAACTGTTTCTCAAAGCGATTCCGAGATGACGGATCCCAAGTTCTGAACACATAACCGAAACGCACTAGTAGATCCTAAGCTCAATAAGCGACATAAAGAGACCCTCAAGCCCTGTTTATCGTGGAGTGCAGGAAAGAAAGGAAGATGGAGCAATTTACCAAGTGCTATTTCTTTGCTTTTGATTACTCTGCTCGATTATTTCCTCTAGAATGTTGGTTCTGCCTGAGTTGAAATGCAGAGAAACATTGCTGCTGGACACTTTGATAGAATGTATTGGCAGTCTTTTGTGGACACTTACGGCATCCTTGATGTGTATGCTGAAGTGTTCTGAACAACGACATCGACTACAACTCATACAAAGGTACTGAGCACTATATTGTTCTATGTTTTCCCAACTCGCCGTACGTTTTTTGTCTGTTTGGAATTGTGCAAAGAGCAAGGTGTGCCTCCTTTGGACGAATCAGTGTTGAATGCACGTACGCAAGGTGGCCTCCTTGAGTTGCAGAAATGGCCGGCCTTGAAACGCAAACAGTACTGATGACAAATACTTGGTTGGAGATTTCTCTACGTAGAGGATGAAGTACATGGATTGTCATTGTCTAGTGCGCTGATTGAATGTTTCATTGGTATGCTCTTCTTGCTGCTAATGGGATGATTGCTCCTGATTTACGTTGCTTCATAGAGGCGATGCTGAGGATCGTCGTGGGTGACAAAGTGCTGTCTTGGTCCCCCGAGTGATGCTAGAAAGGTGCTCTCGAGAAGGGAGGAATTTGTAAGCTTGAGTCGTGACGCATCCACTGGCTGATCCACTGCAATATATAAGGTGCAAATGGCTTCCTTTTCCTTGTTTCAGTCATCAAGAACTAAATCAATTGGCCATAGAAGTGAAGAAAGCCAGCATTTCATTGCTAGGCGCAAGGGAATGTCTCTCTAGCACTTTTAGTTGGCATGCTCAAGGTTCATTCCAAAAACATTATGACGTCCAACAATCAGCACAACCTCGTTCACGAAAAAGGAACCCCATGACTCAATTCATTGTCTCGGGTGATATGTGACGAGAGTGGTGGCTTAATGCTTTGCCCCTCAGGCGTGGATACAAGAAGATAACGAAATAATAGCAGATCTTTCTATGCTAGAAGATGGAAGAAAGTGTTTTCATGAAGCACATTTTAACGAGGCAAAGCTTTTTACCATTCAATTTCTCCAGTTTCGTGTTTTTCACATTTCCTTGCTATACAATTTGGATCCTTGAATCCTATATTGCAGTGCTTGCATGGCAGCTTCCCGGTCCTGATACTTGTAGCAAGCTTGGAAATTGTCCTCGAATGCCTGAGTTCATTGGGAATAAATCATCTTCGGCTTTGCAGATTTTAACGCGGACAAAATTCCTCGAGTGATTGATAAGGTTGGGTTAAAGAATATCTTAAAATAAACTTGAATCTTCTCGAATATTCTAAATATATTCTTTACTTATATGACTCAAATAATTTCTTGAAAGAAAAAAAAAAATGCGAGAGAGCAAAAGTAAAAAATTTATAGGCACTTACCGTCTGGAGCATGCACCTCTCCTTCCGGATAACAACGTCGCTCCTCGCTATAAAAGAAAGCCACCTCCCAAACAACCAGGAGCAAAGAGTTCCAGGAAAGCATTTCCTCCTCCTCTAGATCATGGAGTCGTCTTCTGGATTCGATTGGTGGATCCTCACTCTGCCTTTCTTCCCCCGGCATTTAGCCACCGATCATGCATGCCGATTCGTCGCTGCTGCTGTGGCCGTGCTCGTTCTAGCTGCTGTCTCGGCGATCCTGGCTGCTTGGCTTGTTCCCGGTGGCAATGCATGGGGGAGAACGCTGAGGAAGAAGCAGACCATCCCGGGGCCGCGAGGATGGCCAGTGCTTGGAGTCTTGACGGAGATGGAAGGCCAAGCCCACCGAAAGCTGGCCAAGCTCGCCGACAGGTACCACGCCAAAGGGCTCATGGCCTTCGGCCTGGGGAACACGAGGGTGATCATCACCAGCAAGCCGGAAGTGGCACGAGAGCTGCTCAACAGTTCCGAGTTCGCGGACAGGCCTCTCAAGCAGTCGGCGCAGCAGCTCCTGTTTGGACGAGCAATCGGCTTCGCTCCCTATGGAGATTACTGGCGTAACTTGCGGAGGATTGCATCCAACTATCTGTTTTCTCCACGCCAGATTGCTGCTCACGAACCATCTCGTCAGGCAGAGACAAGCAGGATGATCGAAGCAATGAGTACCTTTGCAGCTGACAACCACGGTCTTGTCCGAGTCCGGGACTTTCTCCAGCGAGCTTCGCTTAACAACATCATGCAGACGGTGTTCGGCAGGAGCTTCGAGGATGGCTCTGAGGACGCTGCTCGGCTTTCTGGGATGGTGAGGGAAGGATTCGAGCTGCTCGGTGCATTCAACTGGGCCGATCACTTGCCAGCTCTCAAAGCAGTCGATCCCCAGAACATCCTCCAGCGCTGTGCCGTTCTGGTTCCCCAAGTGACGAGGTTTGTCCAGAGGATCATCGACGAGCATCGCCAGTCGGACGATAAGAAAGTTGGCGAAGCCGACTTTGTGGATGTGCTGCTCTCCTTGGATGGTGAGGACAAGCTTGAAGACGCGGACATGATCGCAGTTCTCTGGGTAACAAGCTTCAAAGCTTCAAAGTCTGCCTCTGTTTTCTTTTATGACTTACGTGGTGTTTTGCAGGAGATGATTTTCCGAGGCACTGACACGGTTGCACTCCTCACCGAATGGATTCTTGCAGAGCTCGTCCTCCATCCTGAAATCCAGAGCAAGTTGCGGCATGAGATCACGAGCATCGTTGGAAAATCCAAAGTTGCCGAGTCTGACCTCCAGAAGATGGTGTTCCTCCAGGCCGTTGTAAAGGAGACTCTTCGGATGCATCCTCCGGGTCCCTTGCTCTCTTGGGCTCGGTTGGCGATTCACGACGTAAGCTTGAGTGGCCACCACGTCCCTGCAGGTACCACGGCCATGGTAAACATGTGGTCCATCACTCACGATCCTTCCATCTGGTCCGAGCCTGAGAAATTCAACCCGGAGAGATTTTTGGAGCAGGACGTTGATGTGAAAGGAACCGACTTACGTCTCGCCCCATTCGGAGCTGGTCGCCGAGTGTGTCCCGGACGAGCTCTCGGCCTCGCTACTGTTCTTCTCTGGACGGCTCGGTTGGTTCACAAGTTTGAGTTCCAGGTCGACCCAGCCCATCCCGTTGATCTCACCGAAGTTCTCAAGCTTTCGAGTGAGATGGTAAAGCCTCTGGTGGTAACAGTGTTATAGTCTGTGCCTGTAGTCAAGGGCTGTGCCTGTACCTCACAAACAAATCGAAGCTGGTCAGCTCATAGATAATAAGTCGTTTACCTTATGCCTATACGTGCACCAGTATCTCGAATGTTATGGTGGCGTTCCATTGCCTCTCGAACATTTGTCTCAATCGCGGGTCTCGATCGTGAGTACATGGAAAAGATAAAAAAGACCACATGATATGCTGCTTCGGAGATAGACGAGAAGTTCCGAGCTGTTGAGCCAGAGGTCATCCAGCACGTCGTGTGTGATGTAATGGCACACGCACCATAAAGGAAACACAGCCTGATTTGTTCCGAGCGGCGTAAGGGTGGGGACTTTTCCATCACTGCTTCCCGAGGATTTATGACTTCACAAGCTTTGTCTCGGCTCTTTCCACTTCAACAACGTTTCTCAAGCTCAAAATCTTCGCTTGCTCCTCCCACATTCCTGTGCTGCCGTAGATGGCCCCCATAAGCACGTAAGCGGCGCCATTACTTCCATCCAGCTCTACCAGTCTCTCGAAGGCCAGCCTTCCAAGTTCCACATTCTTCCACTTGCGGCAAGCAGCTAGAACCGTCCTCCATGTCAAGGCATCTGGTTTAAAAGGCATGGACTTCACCAACGCCAAGGCTTCCTCGAGCTCGTTGCCCCTCCCAAGGATATCAACCATGCAGTGGTAGTGATCCAAGCCAGGCCTCACGTTGTATCCCGGGAGCATCGAATGGAAGCACCGTCGGCCTTTGTCGAGAAGACCAACGTGACTGCACGCTGACAGGAGAGCCAGGAAGGTGATACCGTCGGCCTGGACACCTTCGTCTTCCATCCGGTGAAACAACTCGAACGCTTGCGTGGTGTCACCTCGTCGGCTGTATGCTACTATCAAAGAGTTCCAAGTCGTCAAGTCTGCTCCAGAAGTGAGCGAGTCGAAGAGCTGGCGAGCTGCGAGAACGCAGCCACATTTGCCGTAGAAGTCCACAAGACACGATGGCACAATCGCATCCTTCTCCATCCCAAATCTGTAAACATCTCCCTGTATCCTTTTCCCAGCACCGAGTGCCGCTACACTACCACTGGCGACGAGAGCTGCGAGAAAAGCACGGCCATCCGGTGGAACACCTGTAGCCCTCATGAGTGAGAAACTTTCCAATGCCTGTTCCCCTTCACCGTTTTCAGCATACCCGATCGTCAATGCCGTCCAGGAGACAACGTTGTGACACGGCATCTTCTCAAAGACACTTCGAGCTTTCACCATGCTCCCACACTTTGAAAAAAGATCGATCAAAGTGTTGGCGAGAAAAACGTCGGAACTTCTGCTTCTCACGGCCAAAGAATGGATTCCGGCCCCCAGCTCGCAGCACCTGACCTTCACAACTTCGCCGTTGATCTTCTCCTCGACTGCCAAAGCTATGCAGGCCATTCCTCCAGCCATGAAAGTTCTTGCATTTGGTTCACAGCCTCGACCTTCCATACACCCCAGCAGATCCAAAGTCAAGCCAGCCTCTCCATTTTCTGTGTATCCCAGCATCAAAGCAGTCCACGAAACCACTGTGTGATCCGACATCCTGTCGAAGACACGTCGCGCATCAGCCATGCTCCCACTCTTCGCGTACATATCGATCAAGGCATTGGAAACGAACTGGTTGGCAAAGTCACAGCCTTGTCTTCTCGCTTGAGCGTGCAAATCCATCCCTTTCTCTAGCCATCTAGTTCTCCCCTTGGCACCATCTTCTCTGGAGGCTAGCTCGCTGCAAGCCGTGATCGCGGCCACGAAAGTCCTGGAATTTGGAACACCACAGCACTGTAAGCTCGAGAAAATCTCCAGAGCTACTTCACTCTCACCATTCTCCACGTATCCCGCGATGAGAGCGTTCCACACAGCTACATCCTTGTGAAGCATCCCATCGAAGATCTGGCGAGCCTCGCGCATTGAGCTGCTGCATTTACCATACATGACGATCAGCGCGGTAGAAACGAACTTGTTTGAATCTATTCCAGCCTCCCTTGCGGCAAGATGGAGCTGCTTACCTCGCTCGAGATCGCCAGAGCTGCCGCAGGCCTTCAAACCGGCAATGCAGTCCTTGATTGTGATCGATCCCTCGAAATCTAGGCGCTGGAACACGAAGAATCTCAAAATCTTTGAAGAACAAGCAAAGAAAATCACTCACATTTCCCTGCGCTGCCGTGCCGTGGATGGCCTCGCACAAGAATCGCCGTGTCTGCGATGGAAGAACAATCCAGGATCTTGAAAACATCCCCAGAATCTCCTGGAAATCGAGGCGCCGTGTGATCTCGACGGATTCCAAGGCGCTGGAGCTCTTCCTCCATAAACCCTAAATTTTGAGCTAGGGCGGGAGCAATGGTAGAGCTAGGGCATGGAAGCAATGCCGCTAGAGGGATGGATCGATCACCAATGAGGGCAAACCGATGCTATCGCAGCTCCAGCAAGCAAGAACAGGTGCGTTGTCCATCGATCGATCGACTCACAGCTCTCGCATTGTGTTCTAGGCTATCATCTCCTCTCTCACATCTCCATCCATCGCGCTCTCGGTAGCTCCGGCAGCCTAGATTCATGGCTCAAGCGGCGATTAAAATGGATAGACGAAGATCCACAGCAGCGGCAAGACGATACCAGGATCTACGCCGATCTCCTCGACGTTGTCGCGGATTCCAGGTCTCTAGATCTCGGCAAGGAGGTCCACGCACGGATTTGCAAGAGCGCCATGGACAGGGGGCCGTTCATGGGCGACTTGCTAGTGAGGATGTATGTGGATTGCGGCAGCTTGATCGATGCCAAGGCGTGCTTCGATCGAATGCCCGTCCAGGACGCGCTCACCTGGGCGAGATTGATTCGCGCTCACGGACAGATCGGTGATAGCGAGCAAGCGCTCCATCTCTTCCGATCGATGCAGCTGGAAGGGGTGGCTCCGGTTAACAGGAACTTTGTGGCTGTTCTTGGCGCTTGCTCGGCTGATCCAGAGCTTCTCGAGGAAGGAAGAAGGATTCACGGGGTCTTGCGAGGAACGGCGATGGAGAGCGATCACTACGTGAGCACTACGTTGCTCCACATGTATGGGAAGTGTAGCAGCGTGGAGGATGCCAGGAAAGTTTTCGATGGGATTCGCCACAAGAGGGTGGTAGAGTGGAATGCGATGATCACTGCCTACGCGCAGCAAGATCATCACGAGCAGGCAATCCAGGTGTTCTACGCGATGCTGCTGGAAGGGGTCAAGGCCGAGAGAATCACCTTCATTGGAGTGCTTGATGCTTGCTCCAAGCTCAAGGATCTCGAGGTGGCAAAGCTCGTCAAGCTTTGCGTCGAGGAGAGAGAACATGATCATCTACACGACTCTAGTTTCGCCACTGCTCTCGTCAACTTTTATGGAAGCTGTGGAGATCTAGAGCAAGCTTTCCGAGCTTTCTCGAGGCACCGGCTAGAGCTGATACTGGCGACTGCGATGATCACGCAGTATACCCAGCGCGAGCGCTGGGACGAGGCTCTCGAGCTCTTCAAGGTGATGCTGCTCGAGGGCGTGAAGCTGGACAGGATCGCGTGTATGGCGGTGCTCAACGCTTGCTCCGGGCCGAGAGGATTGGAAGAGGGGAGGATGATTCACGGCTTCATGCGAGAGATCCGGTTTGACAGGCACGTCAACGCAGGAAACGCTCTCATCAACATGTATGGAAAGTGTGGAAGCCTGGAAGAAGCTGTGGAGGTTTTCCGCTCCATGCAGCATAGGGACGTGATCTCGTGGAACACCATCATCGCAGCTCACGGCCAGCACTCGCAGCATCCGGAGGCTCTCCACCTCCTCCATCTGATGCAGCTCGACGGCGTAAAGGCGGACAAGATCAGTTTCGTCAATGCTCTCCCGTTGTGTGCTGCCTCGGAGGCTCTAGCAAAAGGGAGGATGATCCACTCGTGGATCGTCGAGAGCGGTATCAAAGCCGACGTGATGCTGGACAACGCCATCCTCGACATGTACGGGAGCTGCAAGAGCACCGACGACGCGTCCCGGGTGTTCCGAGCCATGAAAGCTCGAGACCAGGTGTCCTGGAACGCGATGATCACAGCTTACGCCGCTCAGCCTAGGCTCTCCTCCGAGGCACTGTTGCTTTTCCAGCAAATGCAGCTCCACGGGTTCATGCCGGATGTAATCTCCTTCGTCGCTGCTCTCTCGGCTTGCGCAGCACAGGCCTCACTCGCCGAAGGAAAGCTACTCCACGATCGCATACGAGAAACCGGGCTGGAGAGCAACATGACAGTGGCGAACGCGGTTCTAAACATGTACGCAAAGTCGGGGAGTCTGGTACTCGCAAGAAAGATGTTCGGGAAAATGCCACTGCCGGACGTGATCTCCTGGAACGGGATGATATCGGCCTTCGCTCAGCACGGCCACGCGGACCAAGTTCTTCGATTCTTTCGGCGGATGAACCACGAAGGCAAGCTTCCCAACGACGTGACTTTCGTCAGCGTCGTCTCGGCTTGCAGCCACGGTGGCCTCGTCAAAGACGGCGTCCAGCTCTTCGTGTCGCTCCTCCACGACTTCCCGACGATCTCCCCGCGAGCCGAGCACTACTACTGCATGGTGGACCTCATAGCCAGAGCCGGGAAGCTCGATGCTGCCGAGAAGTTTATAGCCGCGGCGCCTCTCAAGCCCGACCGGGTGATCCACTCCACGATGCTGGGAGCCTCCAAAGTTCACAAGGACGTGGAGCGAGCGAGAAAGTCTGCCGAGCACTTGATGGAGCTCACGCCGGATCGCTCCGCGGCGTACGTGGTGCTGTCGAATCTCTACGACGAAGTCGGGAAGAAGGACGAGGGGGCCAAGATCCGGAGGCTCATGTACGAGAAGAACATCAGGAAGGAGCCGGCTTTCAGCTCCATCGCGGTGAAGCGAAGAGTCCACGAGTTCTTCACGGGGGACACGACGAATGCTCGAACTCCGGAGATCTTGGAGGAGCTGGAGAGGCTGAGCTTGGAGATGGCCAAGGCGGGATACACTCCAGACACCACTCTCATGCTTCACGACGTGGGGGACGAGCAAAAGAAGCGCTTGCTCTCGTATCACAGCGAGAAGCTGGCGATTGCGTTTGGGTTGATCAGCACGGCCCCGGGAACTTCGCTGAGGATCATCAAGAACTTGCGCGTGTGTGGGGACTGTCACACTGCCACCAAGTTTATCTCCAAGATCACGGGAAGAGAGATTGTGGTGAGAGACAGCCATCGCTTCCATCACTTTGACAATGGGACGTGCTCTTGTGGAGACTATTGGTAATTCGGTTAAATTTTATTTAATTTATTTTTAAAATAAGGAACAAAGCAAAAAGGTGGTTATTAACACAAAGGGTAGTTTAGTTTTCTATAAATCCATGAAGGTAAGGGATCAGAAGGAAAGACAATGGGTTCTCACTCGAGTTCTTCGATTGATCATCCATCCCCAATTTCCTTAAAGCCGACTTGGTGTAACAAGAGGAAGCGTTCTCCACGTCCCCGTTCTTCGAAGAGTTTAACTTGGTCGACCAAGAGGAAGCGTTCTCCACACAAGAGGATCGCCCTGTATCCTCCAGCGTTGATGGATCTGGAAGGATCCCAGATGGATCACGCAAGTTTCTTTGAACTTGGAGAACCCAGAAAGGTGGACAACGAACTCGTGATGAATCAAGAACTACTTGAAGAGTTCAGATTGGACAAGGTCGACTTGGAGGAACTTCTCAAAGATCTATGAAAATTCACACACTTACTTAAGTTATAGTAATAAAAATATATATATCTTTGTTCCAAGACATCCCATCTCTCATTTTTGCAAGAAATTTGAACAAATAAACATTTTAATGATTTAATTTGATTAAAACATCCCTGGATATCCTTTAGGGTCACAGTCAGTTGAAAGTAACTGTCGTCCGGGCAAAATGATTGGCAAATTCCTGCCACTGCTGCTGCTGCTTTCGATCGATTGCTTTAGTGCGTCAGCTGTGAGTTCACAGAAGGATCAAGTGGTTCATCACGGCCACCATGATCTACAGCACCATCGAAAGCACTCGAAACATCCCAAGCATCCACACTCGATCATCGACAACACGAGCCAGGATTTCCAAGAGCTCTGGAAAGCCTATCAAATTTTCCTGAACCGGCTCTCGAGATCACTCGCAAAAGATGACAACGATGGACTTCCCTGGTGGTATAACATCATCCCGCACTTTCCATGGCCCTCCTTTCCATTTCCGTGGCCTCCAATGCTACCGCCACCGCCACCGCCACCGCCTCCTTTGTGCCCGCCACCACCGCCGCCAGTAAACTTCACCTCCAGCGATGTCGATCGAATCAACCTTGCTCTCAACATTCACTATCTCCAAGCCGAGTTCTTCCTCCATGCAGCGTTTGGACACGGGCTTGACAAAGTTAATGCAAAGCTTGCCAAGAAGGGGCCACCGCCTGTTGGAGGCCGCAAAGCTCGACTCTCTACACGAATGGAGCATGTTGCCAAAGAACTTGGGCTCCAATCTACAGGTCATATCAGGTAATTAACATTTCTTTCTCTCAAGTCTTTTTTTCTAAAGCTGTTTCCCACACAGGGCAATCCATGATAAGCTGGACAAACAATCAATTTGCCGGCCCTTGCTAAACATCAGTGTTGGAGTGTGGGATTCCCTCATCAGCAAGGCTCTCATTCACAATCACACCGAAGTTGATGGTGGTGGTTCTTTGCACTTTGATCCGTACGAAAACGACGCAAACTTTCTCATTGCTGCATATGTGATACCGTACATTGGTCTCAACACGCTCATAGATTCTAGCAATCGAGTCACTGGCATTCAAGCACGAAAGGTAACAAAGAATTACTAGTTTTAATGAAGATTTTCAAGAGATTCTTTGTTTCTTCAAAACAGTTGGTTTCCGGATTGATGGGAGTCCAAGCCGGCCAGGACGCAGTGATCCGGACATTGCTCTTCGAGATCATGGAAAACAAGCTGCGTCCGTACAACGTCACAGTCGCAAAGTTGACAAGCCTCGTCTCGGATCTCCGGCACAAGCTTGATCACACAAGAAAGGCCGACGAGGGCTTGAGTGTGCATCAAAACCGTGGAGCCGAGAAGCAAGTAAACGGGAATTTGATCTCCGCGAATGACTACTCCATGGCCATCTCGAGATCGCCCCAGCAAGTTCTCCAAGTTTTGTACGGAACAGGGGACGCTTCGGTACCGGGATTTTTCTTCCCCAAGGGGGCTAACGGGAAGATCGCTGGCATCTTTCTCAAACCCAGGCGGCCCAAACTTTAGTATGAAGGACCTTTTGCCTTTCCAGAAGTTCTTGCAAATGAGATTCCAAACTTAGGATCAGCCGAGGAAACCTTCTTGTAAAAACGAACGGTGTCTCCTTCCTTGAGCGAGTGCTCCCTCACGTAATGAATCCAGTGTGTTGTGATCAGGCTCCCAGTTTTCCCTTTCTTGCACCGGAGCTCCCAAACTCCGCCCTCTTCGTCCACAAATTCCACGAGAACCTTTTCATTCGGGAGCATCGACTCGTACTTGACCGGGATGAGCAATCTGTGCAGGCTATTCACGTCGCTGGCGGTCAGCTTCTTGCCAAATAATAAAGCCCAACGAGATGGATCGCAGGTGACGAGAGGATCCTCGCGTTTCCGGGGTCTCCACTTGTGACACTTCGATTTCTTGGTGTCTCCCGCCGCCTGAATCGCGCCATCTTCACCAGAGGAGGAGGAATCTTTCAACTCATCAGTCCTTGAACCGACATCTCGATCGCCCATCTTAAGTATCTTTACCTTTTGTCCCAGTCCTTGACTTTCGTCCATGACCACCACCTTTCTTCGTTTCTTCTCTTGTAGCTGCCCAGCTTCCTGGTTAATCACTCGTCTTTTGCCGTTGGAATCGGGCTCGCTGGTGCTCATATCCGCCGTGAACCAAAGTAGAGCCCTCCAGAGCATGGATTTCCGTGGAGACCGCTTCCTTCTCAGGATAAATGTCTTCGGGAAACTTGGCTGCAAGGCTGCAGCGTCTGCAAGAACCAACAGTCCAGAAAAATCTTTGCTTGCCATCTCACAACTAGTGAAAAAAACCCTTTGCTTTAATCCAAACCTATATTGCCTTTAAAATAGAAGTTAAGCAAAAGGGGGTTAAAAATCTTGGCGACGCCAACGTGGCAAAAGGTTTTGATTTGAAATCCCTAACAATCTCCCGGGTTTTTTTGCCGCTCTTCAAATTTGGTTCCCGGTTCGTCGATCGATCGATCGATCGGAGGAAAGATTGTTTGCCAGTGAACTACTAGAGATCGCGATGAGGAGTGCAATGGGCCTTTTGGGCCAATTGATGAGATGCCGGTCCTCCCCAGCGACCAGCGCAAATGCTGTGATGATCTTGGCATCATCGGCGCCACCGCCGTTCCAATTGAGCAGCTTCAATCCTCTCAGCACTGCCGCCGCTGCCGCCACCGCCGCCTCTAGCCCGGGAGTGGCATCGATTTGTAGAGATTTCAGGAAGCTCTTGCTCAATCGCCCATATGTAAACGAGTCTCTCTCCTTTCTCTTCGATAAGTTTCTCTAATGGGCGATGTCCAATCGATTTAACTGTCTTGGATTTCGATGGTGGTGATGCACAAACAGGGGAAGAAGAGGGCTGATCCCGAGGATGAGAAGATGCTGAGCGAGGGTGGCGGGAGCAAAAACAACTACGGGAAAGAATGCAGCCGCGTCAAAAGCACGAAACCAAAGTCTACGATAGAGAAAGTTCTCCCAGGCAAGAGAAATACCCAACACGACATGAAGAATCAAGTGAAGAGCACCGCCAAGAAGGTGAAGAAAGTCGTGGAAAAGGTGGCGGACACTGCCAAAGAAGGGCTCGAAACCGCAAAGAAGAAGGCCGGAGACGCTGCGAAGAAAGTGAAGAAAGGTGGCGGCGATGGAGGTGGAAAGAAAGGTGGCGGCGGTGGCGGAAAGAAGAAAGGTGGTGGCGGCGATGGCGGCGGGAAGAAGAAGGGTGGCGGCGGTGGTGAGAAGAAAGGTGGCGGTGGTGGCGGCGGCGGCGGTGGGAAGAAGAAAGTTGGCGGTGGTGGTGGCGGCGGCGGCGGCGGCGGGAAGAAAAAGGGCGGCGGAGGAGGAAAGAAGAAGAAGTGAAGAAGAGAGTTTTGGCTAAGTTTTTCGTGCGAATGAATATATTTTGTGCCTTCTTTTAGGGTTCTTCGAGGGTTTTAGCCCAGTTCGTGGCACATTTAGGTTTCTTTGGAATGAATGAGGCGCATTGCGCGACAATGCGCCATCGCTAAAACAGCTTTGAGCATTCCTGGCGCCTCCAGGATCGAAGAGGTAGCTACATTTTGATTTCTGTCAAGATTTTTGCAATGGATTCTTCGTTCTTGTTCTTCCAGCCGAGCGCGTTTCCTAGGCCGGGATATTCTACATCAGAGGTATGTTGAGACACGATTTTTAAGGACAAGGCGAAACGAGAAAGAAATCCTTGCAGCACTCGAGCGAATTTCTGGATGAGAGCTTGGCTTCCACGAGGACAAAGACGAAGGTAAGATAAGCTTGTAGGCTCTGAATTCTCACCTCTCTCTTGTGAATCACAGAGCTCAACTAAATCCACAGCAAGAAAAGAGCTCGACTCGAGAGAGGTGAGTCGAGTTTCACCACTTTTTCCTATATCATTTTCAAAGAAAAACTGTGCTTCGTGTTCCAGCATTCGAATGGACTTTCAGCAAGGACGGGCTCACAAAAACACGAGAGAAAATGCGCGTTCATGGCCGGATTGAAGTCATGCTCCGCCTCCAAGGACGTCGAGAAAGGACGAAAAATCCACCGCGATGCCATCGACGCCGGCCACGAATCCGACTTGTTTGTTGCCACAGCACTGGTGGACATGTACGCGAACTGTGGCAGCATGGTAGAAGCTCGCAAAGTTTTCGACAATATGCTCCACCGCGACGTGGTTTCATGGAACGCTCTCATCCTCGGCTACGTCGAGAATGGAAACAGCGAAGAGGCTCTGCGGCTGTTCGACGCCATGCAAGCTTCCAAGCGATGCTCACCGAGCTCCAGGACTTTCGTTGCGGTGCTCATGGCCTACACACACCAGGCGACCAGAAACCAGGCTCGCCAGCTCGAGTTTCTAGAGAGCGGCATGGCTCTTTACTCCCGCGCTGGCTCTCACGCAAACAACTTCGTCGCCGCGGCTCTGGTGGCTCTCTGTGCAAAGTGTGGGGGCATGCAACAAGCCCGGAAAGTTTTCGACACCGTAGCTCGCCCCGACGTGAGCTTGTGGAACGTTTACATTCTCGGCTATGTGGAGAACGGGGAGAACGACGAAGCTCTGAGGCTTTTCTATAGGATGCAGCTGGAACCGAACGCTAGAACTGTCATGGCGGCTCTCCTGGCTTGCGGGAACTTAGCAGCACAGGAAGAAGGAATCAGGATCGACGGGATGAACTTAAAGGTGGAAGCGTTGCGGCAGGGTGTGGCTGTTCACTCGGTAGCTCGGCGGCACGGCTGTGACTCGCACAACTTCGTTGGAAACTGCTTGATCGACATGTACTCGAGGTGTGGCAGCGTGGTGGAAGCTCGCAGAGTTTTCGACAGCATGTCGAGCAAGACAGTCATCACTTGGACGGCGATGATGGTCGGATACGAGCTAAACTCCGAGGCGGAGCTGGCTTTGGAGCTCTTTTCACAGATGAGAAGCGGTCCGGAAGCTTGTGAGCCGGACGAGCGAGCAGTGGTGGCAGCTCTCACGGCTTGCGCGAGCTTGGCTGGAAAAGAAACCGGGCAGCTCATCGATGGAAAACAGCTTGTCAAGGTGGAGAGCTTGGAAAAGGGGATGGCTATTCACTCTCGGTCGCGAAGCATGGATATCTTCATTGCCACCTCTCTCATCGACATGTACGCAAAGTGTGGGAGCCTAGAGGACGCTCGCAGAGTCTTTGACGCCATGGCTCACCACGACGTGGCGTCATGGAACGTTCTTATCACCGGCCATGCGGAAGGTGGTGAAAGCGAGAGAGCTCTCGAGTTTTACGATCGGATGCAAGCTCAAGGCATATGTGCTCCAAACGCGACGACTTTAGTAGCGGCTCTCACTGCCTGCATCGACATCGCCGCGAAAGAAGAAGGGAACACCGACGAGTCAGGGAAAGGCGTGAGATCCAGCTGCTTGGAGAGAGGAACAGCTTTGCATCGCCAGGGAAAGCAACTGGATTGCGAGTCGGACATGTCCGTAGCAAACGCTCTACTGGAGATGTACGCGAGGTGTGGTAGGCTGGAGGAGCTGTGGGTGGTTTTTCACTCCATGCCATGCCGGAACGTCTCGGCCTGGACGGCTCTTATACTGGGACACGTAGAAAACGGCGAGGCCAAGGCAGCACTGGAACTCTTCGAGCGAATGCAGGTGGAAGATCAGTGCTCTCCAAAAGTTTGGACGTTTTCCTGCGCTTTCAGGGCCTGCCTGATGCTGCTCGACTTGCGAGCCGGGAAAGTTCTCCACGCTGCTGCATGCCGGAGGGGGCTCGAGGATTCTCTGACGCTAGAGACGCTGCTCATGGATTTCTACGGGAAGTGTGGCAAGGCCCCTCAAGCTCAGCACGTCTTCGACTCGCGACTCACAAGGGACTCGCTAAGCTGGAACTCGCTGATATCGTGCTACAGCCTTCAAGGCGACTCCGAGCGTGTTTTCGAGCTCTTCTATCAGATGCTATTGGATCACGAGAGCGTCGCAGTGACGGCCGCCACCTTCGTCTCGGTTCTCACCACCTGCAGCCATGCCGGACTCGTCGACGATGGCAAGAAGTTTTTCCACTCGATGCGGTCCAGGCACGGGATGGAACCGGGGCTCGAGCACTACAACTGCATGGTCGACATGCTCGGCCGGGCAAACAGGTTTGACGAAGCAGTCGAGATGGTGAAGACAATGCCGCATGAAGCAACGGCACTGACTTGGAGGACTCTTTTATCAGCGTGTCAGACTTGGAAGAATGTCGAGGTGGGAAAGCTTGCGTTTGAGGCTCTGGTGAAGCTGGACGAGAGCGATTCGGCTGGATATGTTTTGATGTCAAACATCTACTCAGCAGCTGAGTGAGTAAGTTTTCTGTTTTCGATCTTCTTTCTACTCAGTGGAGTGGCTTCTTTTTTCTTTATCTTTTGCAGCGAAGATTCTACTTTTGGGAAGGAGGAAAAAGTGATCAGCGAGGCAAAGCTCTTGATTTTCCAAAGTTTGGTGCCGCTGCAGTTTTATCCGAGCCATCCATTCCTTTTTCGTGAACAATTCTTTGACTTTGGGGTGGCGAAATTCGGTAAGCTTTCGTATTCGTCTTGATTTGTTTTGTCTTTGACAGTCGCTCTGTGCGAAAGTTGTTGATAGAACTCAATGGAGTGTGAACTGGAGGTTTTGAAAGAAAAGGTGTCACGAGGTGGGGATCGATCCAATTTAACCGCAACAACCTCTCGTGATCGCTTTGATTCCAGCAGAAGACTCGCTCGGCTTGGCACCACGATCAGCCTCCTCGAGCTGGACAAAAATGTTATGTTTGCGTTCGAGCATCCGTTTTACACAGCTCTTTCGTTCCAAAAGGTACGTCTCTCTCTCTCTTTCGTACAAAAAAGTTTCTTGTTAGTTTTCTCACCATTCCCTTCTCTCGCCACCTAACAGGGAAATCCAACTAACTCGATCAGTCAGTCCATCTCACGCTAAAAACTTCCATTGATTTCGATCACCAAACTCTTGTAAGTGGCAGGCAGCAGTGTTCCATCGCATGGTCTTAAAATCCTTCACTGTCTTCTCGTTTTGCAGAAAAAATTTCCTTCTCATCGTCGACAAATTCTAATTCCTTTCTGATTCTACAGGCAGGGAATCTCGACAGTACCCAAAAGAAGGTTGCGAGAAAACAAGCTTCGAGAACTTCCCCAGGTTTGCTTCCCTTCCCTTTCGTAAAAGTCGGCAAGAACAGAGTGATTTTTGACAATCAGCAACAACCAGGGATTTTTCTTTTCTCTCCCTCTCTCGCTCTCTCTCTCCTCTTTTTTCCCTCCTTTATACCAACAGCTTGAATGCTCGACCTATGTGGCTTTAGTATTTATTGCCATACTCCCAAGTACCATTTCTAGTGTGTGAAACACCCAGAACTCAACTGGGTGCATTTTTTCCCTTCCTTTTTTTCCCTTCTCCGTTCCCTTTTCTCTTTTCAGATACAACACAAGCATCTTCTGCCTCTTCTCTCGTTCTCTAGTTTTTTGAAAATGGCGGCTGATTTCTCGTTGTGCCGACAGTTAAGGCAGCAAATTTTACTAAGATTTCTCCCCCTGATCGTCGCAGTTGTCTTGCAACAACGGGAGCCAGTAGCACTAGCAGTTGCTCCACCAGCGCAGAGGATCGAAAGGAGCGATGGTCTGTGCAGGCAGCTGGTTCATCCATACAGCTACGACTGCCAGGAGTACATGGTAAAGTTTGATGTTTGCAGAGGGAAGTCTGGAAACTAAGCTTTGGGTCTGTGAATCAGGTGACAACGGAGGACAGTTTTCTTCTTGGTGTCCAGAGGATCAAGAGTCCAAAGTCTCCTGCAAGCCGAGGCCCTGTCTTCTTGTATCATGGAGTTCTTATCGTAAGTTTCATTTTCCTCCGTTTTTGGGCACTATGGTTACTCTTCTTTTCTCTTTTTCATTTTGTTGTTTTGTTCTTGTAGGGTGGTGATATCTGGGTGCTCAATCCTCCCTCTGAATCTTTGCCATATATCCTCGCAGATGCCGGTTATGATGTGTGGCTTGGAAACACGCGCACTACAAGCTTCAGTTACGGCCATGTTTCTTACAGGAGAAGCGATCAAGTGAGTGTTCTCTCTCGAAAGTTTTATGTGACGAAACAATCTTTTCTTGCAGGGCTTCTGGGACTGGAGTATGGATGAATTGTCACGGTATGACCTCTCTGCGATGATCAAGCATACGTATGCCGTCACTGGCAGGCAGATCAAGTTCATTGGGTATTCCGAGGTATCCAGCACTCTTTTCTCTTTTCTTTTAGTTTCGGCTTTCTTCTCCACAACCAGGGAACACAAGCAGCATTTGCAGCATTCTCTCAAGGCCAATTGGTAGAATACATCGAGAAGGCAGTAATGCTCGCTCCCATCGCTTATCTTCACCATTTTACTTCACCTATCGGACTTGCCGGGATAGCCATACAACTTGATAAGGTAGAATCGACCCGTTTTCTTAACTTTGCACTGAATGGTTTTTCATTAAGGTTCTCGACTTTTGCAGATTTATGACGCTCTTCATATCTATCAGTTCAGCCTCACCTATCGCTCGTAAGCTTTCGGAAGTTCGTGTGTCACTCATAGTTTTTCTGCTCCAAAACAGACGGACTGGAAAGCAGCTCCTGGATTACCTCTGCCCAAACAACATCAACTTCTGCCAGAAGAACTGGATCACACTTCTCACTGGTATGTAATCTTCCTTTCCGTGAATTTCACTCGGATCTTCCAAAACAGGGAACAATTGCTGCTTGAACAACAGCCGATGGGAATTCTACGACAACTACGAGCTCCAAGACACCTCCGCCAAGAACATGAAGCACTTCGCACAGCGTAAGCTCAGAAAAGTGTTCCCTTCCAATTTTCCGGGAAACAAATGCTTGTATCGTACAGAGTACCGTACGCAGACCTTCTGCAAGTTTGACTATGGCGCGACCGAGAACTTCCGGCGGTACCGGTCAAAGTCGCCGCCCTCGTACGACTTGACCGGCATCCCGAGTCAACTCCCCTTGCTCCTCATCAACGGCGGGCGTGACGCGCTCTCGGATCCAACGGACGTGGATCGCCTGATCGCGGAGCTCCCCTCGCGCCCACAGCACGTCTTTATTCCCGACTATGCCCATTTTGATTTCGTGCTTGGCCTCAATGCCAAGGACAAGGTGTACGGTCGGGTACTCTCCTTTTTCGCTGGGTGACACGTGGCACCCTGTGAAGGCTTTTCGTTCTCCCGCGGCTGCTCCAGGAAGTGTGAGACTTTCTTTGTTTGGAGATCCTTCGAGGGGATCTACTGGGAGTTGCCAGTTTCTCTGGCGATCTGGAGTGAGATAATCGGCTCCGTCTTGCTGCAATGGAGGAACCGATTCAAACATGTTTCTGGCCACTGAAATGTAGCTCCTGTTACTTTTTGCTTTCTGTAGTCTTTTTAAATTGATCTCAGCCTTTTAGCCAATTCAGCTGGCATAATAATGTGGGTACCAAGATGGCAGGCATATGGTGGCAATGTATAAATATTTAACCAACTTAATTCAGGGATGACAATGCACTCTGCATTGCTGTTGCTTGCTGCTGCTCCAAGGGCTGGTGCGGCAACCAAGAGTCATCCCTCCAGATCCTGGCTCTTTGACTCTCAGAAGCTTGTTATACAAAATATGGTAGAGCTGTAGGATTAGAAGGTAGATTGTTTTAAATCTTCTTCCAGCATGATTTCAGTAAAACACCAAGACAGATATTATAGTTATTTCTAGATTTATGTGTTGTTCTTTTCTTTTATTCTTTTTCAGTTTAATTCAGTTTTTAGTTTTTCAGAAAATCTACTTTTTTATTTTCACCACATGATTTTAAGGGATAAAAGTTTTTCCTATGCTTATGTCATGCACAAAGTATACAAAATCTTGTGATTACATTGTGGAGAAAACCTAATGTTGATGCATCAAAGTAAGTGCGAAAACATAAAAGTTATTATCCACCTGAATATTCTCTCATGAGAACAACAAGTATAAGATAAATGTTTTAAAATTATATATTCCTAGATACAATAAAATGAAAGGGAAAATCTTTTCAATAAAGATTTAAATTTATAGAATTATAAATCTGTATAATACAATATTTAAAAAAAAAACAAAAGTCCCTAATGTTACATCAATGCTCCATTCATAATAATGTCCTGAAATATATTACTGTCAACTTACTATATTGATTAACATTCATTGTTTGGCAAGTAAAAATCTAATTTTACAAATCATTTTTTACACAAAAAATATAAACTGCTTGGTAATAAATTTATGAGCTTACAACATTTAACAAAGATAAATATAATTTACATCAATGTATGATAAAAATAAAATATATTATTAAATCATTATTATTTAAAAGTAAAAAATAGAACATAATCTTGCACTAATATTACTATATGATTAATGCTTAAAGTTTTTGGCAAATATGTAGAATACACGTGTGAAAATTAAGTAGTGATAATCTTTACTTGATTAAGTAAAAAACCATGATAAAAAAAAGCTTTTCCTAAAACTATTTTCTCAATTTTAATTGTTCAATGTAAATCAAGTTCTCCTCCACATGTAGATCTCCTTTTCCAATCATGTTTCCTCAATATTAATTAATTTAAAGTATTTTGTACACATTGTTTTTAAATATACAAAATTGGTAATAATTTTTTTGGTGTGGACTATTATTAATATATATACTAAGTATTGAATTAAGTTTTTAAACATATCTATATTTATAGGAGTAAAATTGCTATATTTGAAAATTAAATTAATGAATTCATGTACATATATATTAAAATTAGTTAAAGAATTATTTATAATACCATCAAATTATAATTTTTATTTTGTTACTTTTATCTATGTTAAAACATTAGAAAATGAACATTCATTGTTATTAATTATAGAAGTGTACAGATCTAAATATAAATCATTTTCTACAATTATTTTAAGATAAGATTTTGCTTTGTTTTTTCAATGATGTTTTGAATCTTTTAATATAAATAATAAATCACATTTATAAGTTTCTTTTAAAAAACTATTATGCTAACTAAAATTAAATATTTATTTGCTCACTAGTTTAGTTGAGCAATATCTATATTATTTTTATTTATTTATTTAGAACTTTAATATAAATAAATTTTTTATGTATAACCTTTTGATTTCTCTATAATAGTTTTGTCATTTTCCATAGTTTTGAGCATGGATGTTATAATTAATTTATTTGACATCTTTTTAGTTTTGTAAAAATTTCTTGTTTTTTTAATGCAATCATTAGGAAACCCATGCAATGAGAAATATTTTCATCAATAGTGATGAGGAAATTGATGGGTATAAAAATAATTTTTCACTTGATTTTAAAGTGAAATAAAAATTGACCATCTACAATCAAATTATGAATATATGGCTTCATTACATCTATTAACCCTAAATAATGAATAAATATAAACATGAATAAAAATAAATTTTTATATCTACATTATGTTTGTTTAGGGGCTTGGAATTGAAAATATTCAAATAATTTACAACTTGCATAGATAAAAAATAAAAAAATTAGTAAAAATTGCAAAAATTCTTTTTCCTTATCGTTATGCATATTTCTAGAATATTATAATACCGATAATTCTTCACTTTACAATGTCCTATAAAATAACAATAATAATAATAATAGAAAAATTGTGATATTTTGGCATTCTAAAAGCTTTTCCTAAACCATTACCTTTAAATATAGACTTGTGTAAAATTAGGGTACTAATTGTTGACCTTCATCCATTCCATCAAAGAGGGCCTTGGCTTAGTCAACATGCCACTCTTCTTTCGAGGCATCCTTGTTCTCTTGTGAATATTTTGCTTTCTAGCAAGATACACAGACCTACTATATGCTTTTTAAAACCATCACCTCATAAGTTATTCACGAAAAAGGTGCAGTTTGGGAGTATGAAGGGGAAGAGTGGTTGGGGCTTGATCACAACGCAATGCATTTATTATGTGAGGGAGAGCTTGCTCATTGTCTACTTTTACTCATGAATCCCTTGGCACCAAAGTTTGGAATCACTTTCGTTCAAATTAAATGTAAGAAATGGAAAATGATAAAAGGTTTATGATGCTAGCAAAGTTAACACAGCGCCACGAACTCCATGGAAGTCTTCTAGTCAAGTTTTGGGAGCTTCGACTCCTCCTGGACAGAGATGATCCACGTGTGTAGTGTATCTACGTCGCCCTTGGTCAATCTCTTGCCAAAGAGTCGAAACCAGTGAGCTTTGTTACTTCTGGGGTCTCCACTTTGTGTTTGAAGAAGATGTGGAACTTATTTGATAGCAAGAATCCTTGCCCAAAAGATCCGAATCGTCAACACTTTCATCGCCAACCCATCCTCTTTTAAACCCTTAACTTATATAATCCTTTAACTAACTACCTTTAGCCTTTTGCTTTCCCATTTATAGTTACTTACTAAAAATAACTAACCCTCGCATTTCTAGGGCTCTAGCGATATATTTCGGAATCGCGAGGTGAGCGCTGTGATTTCCTGGCATTCTCCTGATTGGTAGCTCTGCCCATGACGACCGACGGCATTGTTCTGGATCGCCTGGCGAGGGCTGTATTTCGTAGGATTTCTCGCGTTTCTTGGATCCTTTCATGTGAATCTTGCCGGAGCCTGAGCTTCTTGATCGTTCGTGTTTTGCAAGTTCTGTGGAGGATAGGACGAGATCCCGGCATTGTTCTATCACACTGCTGACGTTATTTATATTTAATCCACAGATGATTCAAGGAGTAACCAGGAACTCGGGGCTGGCAAGCAAATTTTCCCTCTCCTCCTCACCAAGCTGGATGACAACGGTCATGGTTCCATCTCTCGACCACGGGAGAAAGACGACGGTATCGGCCAATCGCACTCCAGGGCTGGTGACAAGCACAGGCGTCCCGCATCCAAATTCCAGCTCGTACAGAGAAAATCGAGTCCAGCTGGTAAGCACGATTGGTTCCGACCACAGTGATGGAATCATGTCGACGTTGTGCTGCTGCTGGATCCAATCCAAGAACCCGCCGATGTAAACGCCTGATACGTTCTGGATGGCGTCGTGGACAATCTTTGCGGCAAAAGACAGTGGTTTTGCCACCAGCTCGTCAACTTGAGCGATGGCTTGCGCGGAGAAAGTCGCGTTTCCAAAGTACTCCTTGGGAAGACCCGGAAGTCGAGTCCTTCCATCCACAGGTATGACAAGCTTGGCTTCCTTCCACGCTTTTTTACGAAGCTTGGTGCTGTATTTCCAGATGTGAGCTGCCAAGACTTCGAAGCGGGTGTAGTTTCCATCGCATTGGTTCTTCAAAACTTGGATCTGGCTGCTGGTGAAGCGAAACATGCAAGGCTTGATCTTGGCAGAGGTCTTGAAAAGAGAAGTATAATCCTGGCCATACTCTAGAGCCGGCGAGATCTTGCTGGAATTGAAGAAGGAACGATCGAAACAGGGAGGGTGAACGGGATCATGGCCTCCTGAAGCAAAGTGAGACCACGTTTTCATGAACAGGTCCATGGCAGCTCCATCTCCAACATTGTGATGCATCGCTACGCCCAAGCTCCAGCCTCCGCATTTAAATCTTGTCAACTGGACGAGCAGTAGAGGAACTTCCGTGACATCTTCGGCTGGAAACTCGCCACAGGGACACAGGACGTTGCAGCGTGACTCCTCAAAGCTCTCCAGCTTTTCATCCATAGATGCCTCGAAGAAGTCAACTCCACGATCGTTGCATTCCAGCTCGAGGCCTTTGTCGCCGGGGAGGAGTCGATAGCGGCCTGCCAAAGGATAACACACGGACAGTGCTCCGGACAGGGATTTCTTGAGACTTTCCGAGGACAGTGGCTGATCCTGAGGTGGTGCAAACAGCAAGACAAACGTTATGTAGTTGCGAGCTGAGATTTGATCGAGGACACACAGAGCTATCGGCTCCCGTGCTGGAGAAGGAAGCTTTGGCTTGATGATATCGTGCTGCCTGGACTCGAACTTCATGGCTACTTGACATCGTCTGTGGAGGTCTCCGCTTATAATTTATACAAGGTTTGCCATGTCTTTAGCACTTTGGGATCGCTACTGTTTGAGATTCTGACCGTCTGCTGGCAGGAATCTCGAGAAGTCAAAGATGTTCTTCCAAGGACACCAGATCTTATCACTTTTATCTGAAGCAATGTAGTGCATATCCGGTGGTTCTCAATCAACGTTGTGGAGTGGAAAAAGTACGAAAAAGCTACTCGAGCTGTAAGATATTCCCGTGTCCTTGAGTTCATACCAAAATGATTCCAGGAAAGTCCTTTCTTGTATCGTGGCGGGCCATTGTTTCCGTAGCTTTTGTGGAGTCCTTCACTTCGTGCAACATCAAAAGACGAGAGAAATCGATAAACAAAGGCAGATAGTCATCCATGGGCGGCGATCGAAGAAAACAAACCAAAAGCTTGCATTTGTTTAGTCCGTTAGTCTTTCTCTTGATGGCAACGAACTAATAAAGAACAAAATCACTTTTTTACTTGCGCAGCTGCATCGAATCGAGTGGAAAACTGATAGATGAGAAAAAAATCTATCGCGACGAGAAAGACTGGGAGCATCCATGGCCGTGAGCTCCAGGAATAATCCGCGGACGAGAGTATCAGTGGTGTAGGGGGCATGAAACTTGGAGGTGGTGACAAAGAGCTCGCTGCCAAAGAAACTGGAAAGTCATTGATGGTGCCGAGCATCAAGGAAAAGGAAACAGGCAATAAACAGGGACTTCGAAGAAGAACAGTTCATCGATCCAGAGAACGAGCAAAAGACCAGGAACTAACGAAGGAACTTTGGATCCATTCCAGGACTGGAAGGAAGAAGAGCGAGAGGAAGTTTACCTCGGATGTTGCAAGTGGAAGAGGGATCAAAGACTGCGAGGCTGCAGAGCTTGGGAAGATCGAGCATGGCGAGTGTCACATTGTCTCTCGCGACGCCCGAGGCCATGGGCTTGAGATCGCAGGCGCAGCTCGCATTGGATCGGACGACGTGCTCAAGACCCGTGCAGCAATCGTCCGATGGAGCCGCCTGGCGGGCCTGGACGTAAGGTACGCACGGCGAGAGCAGCGGTTGGAGCGATTGGCAGTCCTCCACCGCTGGGCCGGAGGGAGCGATCGCGTCTGCACGAATGCTGCCCAGCGCCAGAGGAGGAAGAAGAAGAACAAGAGCATGAAGAAGATTCATGGCTTTGCTTTTCCCCTTTCGGAAATTAGGGCTCTTTCCTTTAGGCCTTTGAAGTTTGAATGTTGACCAGACCGTTTCTTGGACCGAATACAAAATAATCTCTCTCTAGAAATTTTTACTCGGGACCTTTATAGGTCACCAGTATTTGTGCATTTAAATAAGAGCATTTTTGTGTTAGGAATAAGTTTTAGTTTACATTGTTATTTATGGAATTTGTGTTGTTAGTATTATTTTCCTACTTACTAATTAATTTTACAAAATTTTTGCAGTGCAACTATGAAATTACAATTTAAACTAAATGTGGAAATATTTTAAATAGATATGGCACTGATGGAGATGTATCTGTAACTATTGCCTTTGCTCCAACATTTAATCAAATAGCAGAGACAACAGTTTATTTTTACAATTTAAACAATGATGGCAATGATTTTGAAGCATGTTCTCTTAATCAATATACAAGGAGTGGGACATGAATTAATTTTTTCTCAATGAGACATGGACTTTCTTCTAGTGGATTTCAATGAATAAGTGCTCCTTGGACTGTGGATTATGTTCAAGTATCAAGGAATGGAATTACTTGCACCTTTCCGATATATAAAGAATTAAATCCAAACAAACCTGGTTTATCCACACCTCAATATGATTCAATTGATGGTAACCAGTGCTAAAATTTAGCACAAATAACTATAAGAATAAATGCTTATATTTTGAAATTGAATTTTTAGAATTAATTGTGTAATACACTTTATCTCTCTCCCTTTAATCAATTAGAAAAGGGGAAATTGCTTAAATGGGTATTTTATCCCTATATATCCCTTAAAGTTCCAAAAATTCATACTGATAATATATATAATTTTCATTTTATAATCACATAAGCTATACTCACCCTCTTTAAAGATATCAATGTCTGTGTGAAATAATTGGTCATCCCCTCATATTGTAATCTTATATTAGATCCCTTTGTCTGTAGATGTTTTACATGACAAATAGCATATTTATAAATGCATGATTTTAATTTTAAGGGTAAGAATATATTTTTCTCAAGGGCATATTATATTTTAAGTAACCATTAATTAATAAAAATCAAACCCATACTATGTACTCCGATACTATATGTAGCATAAATTGAAAAAGAGGTAATTACATAATAAACAAGCTCTTAATGCATAAAGAGACTTGCCAATATAGTTTCACAACAAAATTATTTGAAATATAAGACCATCTTTTTGGCTTTGGCTTTTAATGTGTATTTTATCCCTATATATTTTTTAAAGTTTTAAAGATCACAATGACAATATATCTAAATCTCACATGAGTTACAAATTGTAATTATATTGTTTTTTACAATTTATATTGATTTATTAGAATCTATAAACTATGATCTTAGATCCAATAAAAATTATTTTAAAAAAAACTAATTGGGTTAATTACTAAATATTCAGAAAACTAACAGATTCATAATAACTTAATTATATGAAGATATAGATTTTCTATGAATGATGTTGAAATTTAGAATTCACCAATCTTATTACTAAATTTTGTATTGAACCTACTTATATAATGCGATACCAAAATTTTAAGATTCACCAATCTTTTGTATATTTAAATCTATAAATCAATTTATATAATACATATACATATACATTGTTTATGGGCAGATTACCATAAAATTTGTGGTCTGCTAATGACCCGTAATAAGTTCTGCACTCAGAAAATTATCAGGAATCACCATCTCCGCCAAAAACATAACCCCATATCTGGAAGAAAAAATCTGAGTGCTTCGAGTCCAAAAATCTTGAAAACTCTTAGTTTAGTCACTGGCTTCCTCAGCAACTTCACCAAGCTTTGGTCTCATCCTTTCCAACATCTCCCTTCCCAGATCCCTCAGCCAGGTACTATCCACCTTGTGTTCCCTGTTCAGTTTCTCGCGAAGATCAGGATGAACTCGAAACCATTCACCCAGCAGCCTGTGAACATGAGCACGGATACACTTGTCCGGAGCCGGATACTTCTCGCACTGATCCAAGTATTCCATGAGCAAAGTCACAGGATCGATCATAAGTTTACTCGACCCCTGCTCGTCGTCCTCGCTGTCACTGGGTTTGAAAGTTCTGTATCCAGCAAAGAGCGCTGGATTCTCGAGCAGTGATTCCGCAGACAAAACACCGTCCACTCCTGTTTCCTGGATGCATCTCTCGGCGTCTTCCAGCGAGCGAATGTTTCCATTCGCCAAAACGGGAATTCGCAAAGCCTGCTTCACTGCTCGGATCACCTCCCAGTCGGCTCTCACTGTTCTCGAGCACTTTTGCTCCCTCGTCCGGCCGTGGACTGCCAGCAGCGAGCACCCCGAGCTCTCCAGCATCTTTGCGTATGAGATGGTGTCGTCGAGGCTGGGAAACATCCGAATCTTGCACGAAACTGGAACGTCCAAGTTGGAGACGAGCTTTGTTACCAGTGCCTGAACTAGAGGTAAGTCATCCATGAGGAACGCTCCATAGTTTCCTCGCTTGGCTATCCTTTGCGGACACCTGGGATAGCCATAGCCAGCGATAAGTTATAGAGAAACCGTAGAGCTTCTTACCCCAGGTTGATGTCAATGTAGTCGCAAAATGGTTCCACGAGTTTTGCTGCTGCGAGCAACGTATCCGGGTTATTAGCACAAAATTGTATCAGCAATGGCCGATCTTCCTGCCATGACGTTGTAAGAAAACAAAAGCAGCAGAGAAAAGTAACAAAGAAAAACGAAGGCTTTTCATTTACCGGACAAGTCGTGAACTCGTAGTTTCGATATTTTCTATCTTCCGAGAAGAGACGAGCGTGGAGCATTGGAGTGTAGGCTCCAGTGGCCCCATATTTTCTACACAGCATCCGGAAGGGCAGCTCGGATTGATCCACCATGGGCGCCACCATGAACTTCGGAGCTCCAATGCGTCTCCAGTGATCCCACGACCTCTCAATGTGACGAGACAGTGAGAACGAGTTGCGTGGTAGCTCAGCCTCCAAATCTAGACGAAATTTTGAGATCGAGAACAGAAAATCACTGTTCTTACCAGGCTCTGCGGCGGCGCAGTGGAATCCATTGAGCTGAAAGGCATATGAGAGAGAAATCTAGCAGCTAGAGTTGCCTTACCTGCAAGGGCGCCTGCGCGGCCGCCACCGCCATGGCGTCTGCCAAGAACCCTAAACCTAAATTTTAAAAAACACCCGCGAATTAGCCCTAGATTCCACCAGCTTTGCTGTTTGGTTGATTGATACGTCCCAGCCACAATGTTTAAAGCTTGTGTCTTTGTGCGTTTTTTGTATGGATCGATCCTGCATAGAATGTAGCTGACAAGAAATCTATCGTTTTGTGGCATGTTGCAAATTTAAGGAGGTGTTGCTTTTGTGGGGTCTCATTGTCTCAATCCCCCACCGAGAAAATTCTCGGGGAACCAGTTTAACGCCTTCGTCCGTGTCGGAGTTCAATGCAATCTTCGCAAGGATCGAGCCCAACCTAAGTGTTGGATGGATTCAATTCTCACTTGGCAACACTCGATCCATAGATTGGAGAGGGGGAAGATTCTAACCAACCAAATTCTATCCCCAAGGAAAAACCAAATATTTAGAAAAGCATCACGTCCATTTCCATCACTTTCAAGTCGTATCGATCCAGTTTCAAGTAAGGACATTTGCAACCAAAGATGGAGCCTTTGTTGGTGTTGAGGGACAACGACACCTCTCTCGAAACACGACTCTTTCTTCGTTCGTTCAAGGAAAAAAAAATGACTCTGACTAGGTTCTAAGCGGAAAAGGGATTAGATTGCGTGCGAGTTTTGTTATTATAGGACACAACATAAATCCGTGTTCACCGTCTGTGTGGACAACAATGAAAGAAAGAAAGAACTCCAATTTTTTTTTTCTTCGTGGGGACTTTCGGCGTGAGAATCATTCAAGGATGAATCGATCTTCACATCTTTCTCACTCTCTGATCGTTGCGTGTCCGTGTCGTAAATCTACTGCTTTGTTGCCAAAGGGGGCCATAAGATCGAGACTGAAAATCTGATCAGACAACGAAACTTGGCCACGGCTTTTTCCAAATATACACGTCGATACCAGTGGGCTCTTTGATATACGTGTTGAGCTTCCATAGGAGATGACGTTGAGCTTGTGATCACGCCGTGATCTCACTCACGATTTATATACTATTATATAAACTTGGCCGTCATAAAGGAACTCACCAACAAGACCTTTTAATAATAACAAACAAAGAAAGAAAGAAAATGTAAACGCTGGTGTCAATAATCACAAGTTGTTGATGCCACAAAAATTGAACCTTCGTAACGGCCCGGGTCATTGTATTTCATCAAGCAGTCCCACAAAAATAAAATTCCATCAACCCAAGGCCAAGATCAAAGACAAAAACTACCACCACGACAACAACTTTCCAGACCCTACAAAAAGGTTGACAGGCAAACAAACACACTAGGGATGAATAATGTTCTAAGTTGGTCAAACAAGATGCCAAGTTTCACGTTATCGAAAGATGTTTTGTTTGATTGATTGAGTGATGTTGTGTGAAAACTTGGGGATCGTATAATCTAGGCATGGAAGTTTGGAGTATTGCGTAGAGGCCCTAGATTTGGGCCGACACTGAGGTGTTAAAGTTTCCAGGGAAACGGCCAATTTGGCTGTTTTGCAACAATGGCAAATGTTGCACGTAACGGACATGGCCAAATTAATGACACTCGCACGGAATAGGATCTTATAACGAATCTGCTGCCGTCCATCTGGTCGATCCAAGATTTCGTCAAATCGTTGTTTGGTTGTCCAGAGGATAGATGAAAACATTAAAAAAACGCTTTAACAATGTCTAAATGGAATTTCATGGCAAGGAGAAGATTTTGGCGGTGGTAGAAACCGGAAAAGTATTTGTGTGAATAAAGAGCTGGGCACATGTTTCATGCAGGTAGAAAGACATGTTCTTGTTATTCATTCTCAAAAGGTGAGCTAGGATTTTATATTTATTATTACTATTGTTATTTTATTTATTCTTATTATTATTTGCTTTCTTTCTATTCAAGAAGTTTCTCTACGAAACGAAACGTTCTCTCTTGTTAGGACCACACCACCATTCGAGAACAAAAGTCCAGAAGAATTTAGGGCACACAACCCCCTCTTTTGACCAGAGGGAATCATGTACATTACACTATTATAATCATCTTCTTGGAATTTTAACTTGGAGTGGATTACCTGGGCCAGGAGCTCCTCTAGAATCTTAATTATAGGCCTAGAAAAAAATTGATAACAGAAAAGCGAGTCGATATAGCTCACCCAAAGTAGAAATAAAATGCCCAAAGTCAACAGTTTCAACCCTTTTGACTTGACCGTTGGATTATAACGGCGAATCGATGGTTCGCCGGCGGCCACAAGGTTACATTTCACCTGCTGACGTGGGGCCTACGTGGCCAGCCGCGGCATCTCCAAAGCATATTCTACGAAGAAAATCTCTATTTTCTTGAGGTTTGATTTAAAAGCTTGTAGCGGTGAGACGTCCGGAATTTTGCGCCTTCCATCGATCGATCGATCTCTCGCTGCGATTGAGTTGCTTCTCATCGATCCATCCACGGTGTAATCCTCTCCTCTCTTGTTTCTTCTTTCTTGCCCTCGCGCGACGCCATCGATCGATTTCTTTCTTGGATAACTTGCTCGATCGATCGATACCGGCATTTCGATCGGCGCTGTGAAACGCAAGGGCGCGGCGGCAGCGCGGGCAAGAAGATTTCCAGTTCATGACTGTCCAGATCGGTGGGAGCTCGTGCAAGGGGATCATCGCTGGAAGCTATGCGCTGGATTTGATGGGAGAGCGCGACGCATCCAGCAGCAAGCCAGCGATTATGGAGGAAAATCTTTCTGTGGATCTTGAGGAGGAGGAGGAGGAGGATCATCGGCGACTGCAATGGAAGCGGCCTCGAATCGAATACCAGGACGCGGCGGGGGCGGCCGGGGCAGCAATGAGCGACGAGACGGAGAGCTCGCAGCGCAAGGGCGGCGAGAGCGCCAGCTCCAAGCTCAGTCTTTGCCCGAGAGGGCACTGGCGGCCGAGCGAAGACGAGAAATTGCGCGAGTTGGTAGCGCTCCATGGTCCACAGAACTGGAATCTCATAGCGGAGAAGCTCGAGGGACGATCAGGTAGCAAACACTCTCACAATTCCCATGTTTCTTCCTCGCTAGCATAACTTTTCTTTCGATCTTGTCACGATTCTTTCTTCTTTTCTTTGCAGGGAAGAGCTGCAGGCTAAGATGGTTCAATCAGCTCGATCCGCGAATCAATCGCCAGCCTTTCAGCGAGGAGGAGGAAGAGCGCCTCCTCGCGGCCCACACATTCCATGGGAACAAGTGGGCTCTCATCGCGCGGCTCTTCCCGGGAAGAACAGACAACGCCGTGAAGAACCACTGGCATGTCATCATGGCCAGGAAGTTCCGCGAGCGCTCCAAGCTCTACGGGCGAAGATCCAAAGCCCACTCGACTGTTACTACAATCAATGGCGCTGGCGCTGGCGCGGCTAGTACGCTTGCCACTACGCCAAGGCGTAGCGCTACGAGTAGCTTTTCAAGCCAGCGCCAAAGACTTATTGCTAGTGGAGAAGCGTCGACGTCGAGCTCGTCGGGTGCTACGTTACCATCTTGGCTAGAAAAGTACTGTGCCACTGTCACTGCTGCTCCTACTAGCACCATCACCACGCGCGCGACGGGGTTTCAAGTCCCACAGTGTCATCCAGGATCATCACGAGTAGTTCCTCTCGCAAATCCCGAGCTTCTTAAGGCGAGAGCAGGCGGCGGCATTGGATGCGAGGGCGCGAGCTTCTTCCCGACGTACCCGAGCTTGATCAAAGAAGACATTGCCAACGCTTACAACCTCGAGCTATCCAGTAAGAAGTTTGTGTGTTTCCACAAGTTCTTAGAACTTAAGTTGTGTGCGTGAGTGGTTTGCTAGGATGCTCGCAGCAGAGGAGTGGTCCAGTGATCTTCGGCCAAAGAAGGGTCGGCTACTCGAGCTTTGCTGGTTCTGGTTCGACTGCTAATGAAGCAGCTATAACTCGGCGATCCGAAACAGGCGACGGCCACGGGAAGTGGCCGTGGATGGCTCGTCCGGAGGGCTACTCGGGCTCCTTTGGGCGATCAGAGGGGCAAGCAAGCCAAAGCTGGGCGTCGGCATCGTCGACGTCGAGGGACCCGGAGTCGAGTGCGATGATAAGTCGTTCTCCCAACAACCAAACGCAGCCAGCTGACCAGCACAGACAACAGACGGTTCCTTTCATAGACTTCTTGGGGGTGGGAGCTGCTTGATCGAGATTTCAAAAGGCCACACTTCGCGAGAAGCAACTCTTCCTTCATGAGCAAAGAGAGAAAGGCACACGACTTCCCAGGTGGGGCTCGGAAGTCGGGGAATTTTGGAGGAAATGGTCAAGGGAGAGAAAACTATATTCTCGCGTTCCGAGAAGAACATGTGTAAAGCGGCTGGCTGGCCGACAGATATATATCTTTCGAAGGTGAATTTGGAGCTCTCAGACTCAAAAGGTACGTGGTTTCATTTCATTTCTTTCTTCTTTGGACGAACTTAGTGTTTTCTATCTGTGCAGAGTTATAACTAATCTGGTGAGTGTGTCTGTGTGGACACGCTCGCGCAGGGGTCCGAGGGGATTGATTGAAAGCTACGAGACGCCAGCGTTCGCACGGTCAGTCAAATCAAGTGGGGGAGGCCAAGGAGATGTGCCGCGGGGCGGCGAGGCGAAGAGATTTGATCGCTAAGAAATCCAGCTCGAACGCGCAAATCTCGTAAAGTACTACAACACTTCTTTCTCGGCTAAAGTTTGCGTGGTGTCAGTTCTCAGTGATCACGAATGATCGCGAATGATCGTCGCTCTCAGGGAGGACCCATGATTAAAGCATTGAAAACTCGAGATATTTTTTAAAATCACAGAAAAGATGGTAGAATACGTTAGTTCGTGGGGTGCACTACGTGGTGTTACAGCACAGAGGACTTGAAAAGTATATGGAACTGGCGAGGATTTTGATTGAGATGAATGTATACAGTATGATAATCTCTATATCCTCTATTCAAGTGGTATACAGTTAAGAATTGTTGGTATGTTTGACAGTAACTTATTCCAACTTTGGAGAAGCCACTTTAAATTTCTTTGTAATGTCTGTAGGCGAGGGTTTTTTTCTTAAGTTTGATGCCCTCTCAGTCAAGCAATCTTTAGTCGATCTTTGTGTGTTATTATTCTAGTGTCTCGAAGTGAGTCCTTTGATAAGAAAGAGACAGAGAGCCTCCCGTGTTTAAGACTTGTTTAACATGTCATGCTTTCCGCGAGCTCCATTTTATAAACTTTGTGGCTATGCATGATCTCCCCCAATTTGTCACATTTAGCTCATGGTTTGGAAACTCTCTCCGTGGAATCGCTGCGAAAGAAATTCACGGAGCTTTTATCGCTCGATCTCCACTCGGGGATCTTAACCTGCGCTGTGCCGCTCTAGGCAAGATTCCCTGCTGTAAACACGACCAAGAAAACCATGTGGAAATCACGTGAAGCTTTCATTCGCTGCAAACAAAGCTGTTGTGAGGCGAGAGTGACTCGTACCGGGTATGGTTTTTCTCCAGAGGCTGACGCGAGATTACACTAAGCCAGCCGTCGCTGGGCCGAGAAGAAAAACAATTTGGGAGATAAGAAAGCAACAGCTGGGCTTCCCCTACACGAAAGAAAGAAAGAAAGAAAAGAAAAGCTTTAGTCTTTGGGTGGCCACTGAAAAGCATGAGACCAACCAGCGCAAGGCAACGACAAGCAAAAGATGCTTAAATCAAAGCCACAAAACCAAATCAATCAGTCGAATGTGGATACGTACCATGAAAGAAGCGTTCAAACTAAAACGATGCCATCGGCAAAGAGTATTCTTTATAATCGCGTGACAATGATGACGTGGGAATCGATCGTTAGTGTTTAGTGGGGCGGATCTTTTGTTGTCTGTTCGTTTGACACGCAAGGGAGCGAAGACTGCAATGTAAAAACCAACAAAAAAGAAGAAGAAAAAATCAAAGATAAAAGAAAGCCGGGAAGAAGGTAAGCTTTTGAGTCACAAAGACGGAGAGATTAAACAAGTAACAACATGTTGAAGCTTTTCAAGACAGACCTCAGCATTCGCTGGTTTGAATAATCGGATGCCCGGATCCGCTGTTCTGGCGATGATGATTGAGAACGAAATTTTTGCTGTCCAAATACCATATAGGAACCCTGTTCAACCAAGTAGCGCCTCACTGCTTGACTAGGCTGACATGAAAGATCGAGACGAACCTGGAGGCGTGGAAGTCACCTCCTCGTTCTTGACATAAGCCTGCCATAACAAACAATTTAGTTCCAGCAGCTATAATATAGCGCAACGATTGTTACCTCATCACACCTCATCTCCCAGAAGAAATTTCTCTCTTGGCAGGACCACCAGGAGCAAACGTGCCGGCTTTCATCTCGTCGATGTTGGAGATTCGGACCATTCTTCCGCAGAGGCTGCTGGCAAGTATGAACATTTGAGTCCTGCTACCGGAGACACGACTAATGACTTGGCATTCATATCCCAGTCTCTGTTAAATCTCAGAAACGGAGTTCTGAGGTCCAACTTGGGACTCGAGAGGCTGTGCTAGCACGCTACTCGTTTATGATCGGGAAAGTGGTATTCTCCTTTAGGAATTTTTTTAATCAATGGTTACGATTATAATGATTCAATCCTATATTCTTATCGTATGAGTAAACAGCATGGCATTGGGCATTTTGATTTCTTGTATCCTAAGATCTAGTTTACTATTGAACTTAGATTTAGACTTCACTAACATTCTTAATTCTTGCTCTTCGTATTTAAAATTTGTCTTTTATGTTGTTCTTATTAACTATAATGTTAACATATTAACTAGATCAAACAGCCAACTATAGATCAAACTTAAAGAACTACAGTCACATAAGGTTTATATTATGGTGTTGATTGACTTTATATTGATGTGGTGTTACTACCTCTAACTAATGTGGGAATGCTATTTAAACTTACTTTTCTCTTTGATGAGCTATAATTTCCAGATAATATAAGACATGATTGCAATTTTGATTAAAGTGTTATGAAATTGTTCAAGTATCAAATTTGTGGGAAGATGATGTTGAAGAATTCATGAATAGTGTTGAGAGTTTAAAGATCTTGCAAAATATTTATCACTTATTAGATTTTTTAAAACTTGATTTTGTTATTTGTGTTGCTGATAATATAATTTTATTGTGTTAGTAAATTTCCTGATTATTTTTAAAGTCTATTTTGAATATTTTGTTGTAATATTCAGTTGTTGTTAATTTCATTTATTTTGATATTTCTCTGAGAAATTATTTATTCTTTTATTTTCTGTATTAAATAGTGTTGAAATTATTTGGCTATAAGGTTTTAGAAAAGATAAAAATATCTATATGAACATAATAAATTCAAATAATTTATATGAATAGATAGTAAAGATGTGCTAAAATGTTTAGCAATGGAACCTACCCATATACAGATGTTATAAATCAAGAGTATGGAGCAATTAATATACAAGGTATGACATGTCATTTTGTTTTTAATTCCAACATTTTCAAAAATAATGCAGAATCAAATATATTTTTCACAAATGGAATTCATGGCACCATACCTCTAAATTATTTTCATCTCCAGGGCGTAAGTATTACTACTTTGTGCTATAATAGTATGCTTTTGACTAAAAGAGACCTAATGTGTTCTTGAAGAGCCATCATATATTCTTAAATGTAAAAATTGTGTCCATTGTGATGACCTTTTCCCTCCTTGCACAGCTATAGAATATAAAATGGAAGAGAAATTTTTATTTTTTATTTTTTTTATTGATGATGAACTCTTACAATCCAATGAAATCGATACAGTTCACAAATACTACTTAAAAAGTGGTTATCTTCTTAAAAGTGGTTCCGAATGTAGTTTAACCCCCTTATAATATGAGCACATATGTGCTAAAATAAATATTTATTTTTGTGGTGGAAAAGATTACCAAGTTTATTGCTCTATTAAAATAAAAAATTTATCCATATGCTAATAAATATTTTTTTTAGCAATCCTACAAGAGTTATGACAATGAGGAAGAGGAAGTGGACTTAAAAGGGATTTGGGGAACTCCATGTATGGAGAATATAGATCATAAAGTATAGAAAATACAGAAGGCAATTTCGATGGTTAGTGCTTCTTCACCATCAAAGTTTTTTAGAATTAAATTTTATAATGCACCACCTCAGCATGAAATTTGAATTTGAACAGCCATTTGGTACTGCCGTCTTGCCTACTGGTAATGGAACTAAATCCTATACCTGGTATTCAAGTAGTGAGTGGTACTCCTCCTCCATGGCTGCTCGCAATTGCTTCGCCTCTGGAGAAGTAAGATCTTCCTGGACAGACTTTGGCTCAACCATAGCACATCCTACTGCCGCAAAATATTTGTGTCCATGCTGGGGATTGGACTCACGAGACTCTATGGCACGCTGTGACAAGTAACGGACTCTGCCGCGAGTGTCACAGTCTGAAAGGGACGAGAAGACGATGGCATAGCTGCTGGCGACTGAGGAGCTGCTGGCACTGTGGCTGCTGCACCATCATCACCAGGCTCAGAAAAAAGTGTACCGAACCTCAAACCATCGTCAAAGGGCGGAGACTGCTCCTCTTCTTGCTGTGGCGGCTGCTGCGCCTAATTCCTCCAAGTAAAATTGGCGATGTGTTTGGATATGCTTGAATGTAGAGTTTACTCTCGTCAAAGCGAACGTCGCGACGCTCTGTATGCCTTGCTCTCCAAAGTATATCCCAGCATGATGCACGGTAGACTCTTCGCTTCCAATTTACGTCTGTGCTTGTTCATCACTCGAGACAGCCAAATACTCCAAGATAGCTGATGGAAGATGGATGGCCACTCCATAACTGGAACGGTACTACAGATCCTTGAAGGGCCTGAGTGGCATTCCGGCATGGAGAAGCATACTGCGAGCACTGTTGAGCAGTGTTCTATTCATGCGCTCGGCAGCTCCATTTTGTTGTGGAGTATCTGGTGCTGTGAATTCCTGGATGGCTTCTCACGATATGTGGTGGTGCGGTTGATGGCGAGAAAGTCAGAGGTCTTGGACCATTTAAAAATCTACAAGGTCTCGGCAGCAAAATCTTCTCAGCCATCAGCTTCAGGTTCGTCGCAGTGATCGTGGAGGAGAATACATGTCCAAAGCCTTCACCAAATTATGCCAGGACAGTGGAATTCATCATGAAAGTGGCAAAATACTTCTTGTGCTGGTGACTTGGGACATGTAGCGGACCGCACACATCTGAATGGACAAGCTGCAACACTTGATTACTTCCGCTTGTTGAATGCTGTGGTAATGGCGTCCTGGTCTGCTTGCCGAGAATACATGCCTCACAAAACTCGAGATTTCCTGTGAGTCCATGTTGTGAGCCAACAATTGTCTTGACGGCTCCTTCATGGATGTGTCCCAGTCGCTCATGCCAAAGTTGCATGTTTCCTGGGCGAATGATATGGATCTTATTTATAAATATGATCTTGCTCGGTTTGGGCCTTCATCATTCAGCAGCAATGCTTGCATCTCAACAAATGCCTTTGTTGAGCTCAGAACTTTGCTCAGTGTCTCATGTTCTGGTCATGCGGCCAAAGCATTCAGTAGAACTGCCTTTGTCTGCTTCCTTTACGACCTCAAAGAAGACTGGCAGGTGAGGAATGACAAGGCGTTGTCCTCCATGGGCATTAGACTTGGAAAGCTTCATCACCACCACCTTAACCTCACAAAGACAGCTGCTGAAAATTGGACGACCTTGAAGACCACATTTGGCAATCAAGCAAGTGAGGAAACCAAGAAACTGGAGTTGAAGTCCAGGTTTTTCAGGCTTAGAATGGGATCTGACGACTCTCCTGCGACATTTCTAAAGTCTATTCTGTCGTCACTGGAGGCTGATTTGAGCTCTGTCGGACAAAAATGAACGAAATCTCTTTCGCCCAGTTTTCAAAATCAGTGCCGCTAAACACCAAGGGCTGTCAGTCCTGCAAGGATTTCAACCACTGGCCAACCTTGCTGGACGATAAAGTGATTGCTCGATGTCGTTTTTCTTGCGTCTTCTTCTGCTTGTTCACACGCTGAAGAATGGCTCGTGAGTGATCGAGACTCTGCTTGCTCTCGCCAAGACTTCCTCTCCCAAGCATGTTAAACTTTGAGGCAGTTTGACTACCACTTTGTATGGTCTCCATATATAAATATTTATCATGGCCTCCACCTTAGCTCGTGGATCCAATCTGGATATTTCTACAGATTTCAGGTGTTCACAGAACACATTTGGATGGTGCCTTACTCTCCTCTATCTCTGAGGAATGACACTTGAAAGTTACATTGCTTCTTCACTCGACACACGCGCAAAGCCTATCAAGAAACAAACCATTTGTTAGTGACAAGCAACGAGAATTGTTACCTCATCTAGTCTCCTAGAAGATTTTCTTCCTTCTTTCCTTGGCACGGCCACCCTGCGTTCTCTCGAGCACCTTTCTACTCATTGTGATATAGCCTTCGTCTTTGATACCTGGCATTTCCCGGGGTCTGTAATACAGTTTCCGCCGTGCCATGTCACCCCGGAGCTCGAACACCTCGCGCTCGTTGTTAAACCTCTCGTTCAACCGGATGAGCTCGTCGTAAGTTACCAGATCTGGGAGCAGTCCCAGCTCTCTCATCTTCCTGTGAGCCTCGTTGGCGTCGTTCACCATGTCCGCCATCGCGAGAACGCCAACGTACGCGTTGTAAGTCATGGCACACGGCTTGTGGCCCCTGTTCTCGAGCTCGTCGAAAAGCTTGCAAGCGGTCTTCACCTTTCGGTGCCTTCCCAAGTTGTGGAGAAGCGCACTGTACGTGTAGCCGTCTGCTTGAAGCCCGCAGCTCTCCAGATCCTGGAGCAGCTTAAACGCGCCCTTGAAATCGCCAGTCTCCCCGAGCATGGCCATGAGCTTGTTGTACGTCACCAGGTCGGGCGTAAGGCCGTTGGCTTTCATCTCCTCGAGCGTGTCCTGAGCCTGGAAGAGCTTTGCGTGCCTGGCCAGGAGAGCCACCATTGTCCTGTACGTGACTTGGTCCGGAGCAAAAGAGTTGGCCTTCATCTCCTTGAACAGCGAAAACGCATGCAGCACGTCGTCGATATTGGCGAAGCCACAGATGAGAGAGTTGTAGATGCGCTGGTGAACGTAGCCACTCACGTCCCGGAGGCCACGGAAGAGGAGGTACGCGGAATCCATCCTTCCCGACCGGACATAGGAGAAGATAATGCTGGTGAACACCGCGACGCTGAGTGGCTTCCCCCGCTGTGCCATCTGTTTGAAGAAATCCAGCGTCTGCCGAACATCTCCACACTTGAACAGCAAGTTCACCATGCTGCTGTGAACGACGATGTCCGGACTACATCCACAGTCCATCATCTCGAGAAACAGCCTGCAAGGCTCGGCTATGTCACTTCCATCCCCAGCGTTGGTGATGAGAATCGAGTACGTGACACAGTCTGGAGAGATGCCGTCTTCCTCTTTCATCGCTAAGAAAAGCTTCCAGGCAGCGTACCTCCGACCATTCTTGCACAGAACTGCCAGTAGCGAGTTGTAAGTGACCAGCTCTGGCTTGAGGCCCCGCTTGCTAATCTCTTGGAAGACCGAACAAGCACGATCTACGTACCCGGCCTTTCCCAAACAATCGATGAGCATGTTGTGTATCACCAGGCTTGGTTCCATTCTCTCTTGGATCATCTGCTCGTAGTGAACTATCGCATCACCCGGACGATTTGCTTGACAGTGGCCCGAAACCAAGCTGGTGTAGACGTAAAAGTCGGCCTTGTTTCCACCCTCCTCCATCTCTTTCATCAGCTCCTCAGCCAAGTCCATCCTCTTTGCTCGAGCTAGAGCAAGGATGCCGGCCTTGTAGACTTTGAATCGATCCTCGCTGCTCTCCACACGCATTCGTGCCCGAAGCTCTGATGCCTGGCTATGAAATCCATTCGCAGCCAGCACGTTGACGCAGTACTCGTACAAGCCCAGCGATGGAGACCACCCAACCTTGTGGCTCCTCGCAAAAACCTCTAGCATCTCTTGCAGCTGCTGTGCTTCCCCATGTCGTCGAACCAAGGCTTCCAAAAGCCACCCTGCCGGAACCATCACTTTACCGTAGCAAGCGAGCAAAATACCCAGTGTCGCTCGATCTGGAGCAGCGAGCTCTATATTTTCTCGCATTTCGTCCATGAGACTCCCAATCTCCTGGAACCGATTAAACTCGGCCAAAACACAGAGGACCGCGTTGTATTCTCTTGTGCCGTGCCTGTGTCCTCTAAGATTCGAGGCGGCATACCTGAAGAAGGCGATGCAAGCATCCGGATTATCCCCAAGCCGGGCGAGAATCTCCGCGACGCTCGACGACTCCACCAAGAACCCTAATCCCTGATTCTGCCACAGCTGCCAGCTGCCGCTGCTCCTCACCAGGCGCAGCGCGCTGGCCACGGACTGCGACGGCCGCTGGTGCCAGACATCGGCATTGATCCTGGGGAGCGCGGGATCCTCGTCCAGGAAGAGAGGAGGGGATTTTCGCGGCGGAGGAAGACACGGCTGTGGCCGCCGTACCTCGAAGAGCTGATCCAGGCTCCTCTCCAGCATCTGCCGCGGCACCGATCGGGAGAAATGGCGCTTCCGGGTGAGGATCCATAGCATCGCATCGCCTAAAACCCTAGTCCCCCAACGAAATGGCGGGAGTGTAAAGCATATTCCTCCCAAAACCCCTAACAGAATATCCAGATGTCCTGATGCTACATTTGAGTCTCACCACAAAGAATCTGAGTTCTTCGGTTTTCCTTGTACCGTGTCCTTGTAAGAGTTCTTCGGTTTTCCAAGAGAAAACATCTTGTTCGGAAAACAGTTCTTGTTCCTCGTACAAACAGCTCCCCAGTGAGCTCAAAGAACTTCAAGTTTATTTCCTAAATGCTTGTTTGTACACATTTAAGATCAATAGGAATGGTGATGTGAGTGGCCAAGTTAGAAATCCTCCATTGTGTCTATTTGCCTTGCATTGTCCAAGCTACACCCAAAGAGTTTATTGAGAGTTTTTGTGTCTGCCAGGTTTGATTTTTTAGTACAAGATCCTTTGTTAGTGTCACCAGCTACAATAAGTATATTCAAATTATCACAACCTATGGAGCTCCAGCTGCTCAGAATATGAGTAGTGTGTGTAATAAGAAAATGCATAGGCAGGTTTATCTTAGTGTATGTATTCATAACTTTATTGTCCATAACACTATTCTACTTTTAAGTTTATTTCCTACTACCACATAAACATTAAGCTCAATTAGTCAAACTAGAATAAAATTTCTTTAGAAAGTTTTACATCTAAATTGTAGACACACCAAACATCAGAATTTTGTACTATGTATCTTGGTTCTTATAAGATACATATTGATCAAGGTTATAGAATGTTTCTTCCATGATTATATATGGAGTTGTAACTATAAAATTACAACCCAAACCAAATATGGGGTTTTTTCTGTGGTTATGGCACAGATATTGGAAAATGGAATCACTTGCACCTTTCCATATATGCTCAATTAGATCCAAAAACATTTACACCTCAATACGATTTTAGTCTATGTTAACCAAGATCAAATCATAAACATTAACAAATGAATAATTTGGTGAAACTAGTTTGTTTTAAATAATATTTAAAGTCATAATGATATATTTCTATTTATAAATAAGATCCATATCATTAGCAAGTTTTTTGAATTTAGTCAGCATCAACAATAGCAAATATATTATATAATTTAAAAAATATTTATACAACTTAATTGAAAAACTTTTCTTACTATAAAATTTAAAAAATATTAATTTATATTATGTAGATAAGAGATGATGAGAGGAGCTCAGTTTTCTAATTGTATTTTTTAACTTTTTGTTGTTTTATGTTTAAATTAATGATTTTTTCTATTTTTAAGTAATTCAACAAGTGTCATTTATAAGTATACAAAAAATTAATAATTATTCATCAAGATGTCTTATTTTGTCTACAGTGATAAAATGTAATACAATACAGTATTATGTAAAAAAAAAAAAAACTTTGTTTCTAGTGATGTAAAACCAAGATTTTGTTTTTCCCTTCTTGTAATGCAATACATATTATTTATAAAACAAAATAACATTGTCCTACAATGATTAATTTTATTTACAATGCATTTTATTAAAACAAAAGACTTTGTTCTTATGTTTTCAAAACATGAGATTGCTAGAATGAGAGTGTTTTTTCTTCTAGTTTTCCTTTCATCCATTATTAATACTAACCATATCTGTATTCATGCTAAGCAATTGCCTGGATGTGGAAAAAGTTGTAACACTAATTCTGATTGTAACAGTGGTATGGATTGTCTTGCAGGGATGTGCACCAAATTATTATGTGTTTGTGGTGCATATTGTGGACCAGGAACATCGGGTTGTTATGCAAATCTTCCATGCAATCACAATTACAAATGTGTATGTCCTCCTTCCTGGAATTGGAAATACATAAATTATTGAACATTTATAAACAGTTTTCATAATTAATGTTAACACTATGTTTTGTTATTTCAATTGATTGAACAAGATATCAACAAGAAAAAGATAAACTTACTGGATATTTAAGCGTTTAGAATGGATCCCTCCAACATCACAATAAGTTTGGAATAAACCAAGCTGTGTTCAAATTTGATAATTCCAACTTAGATATGATCCAGCATATTACCGCCCAAGCTCAAAGATCTGAAATTTGAGCGCTTTTTGAAAAATGGTATGCTTCATTTGCTAGTTCGCAACTTTGACATTCTCTGTAGGCAGGCTCCTTCTTGGTCGCACTTTATCTATTCTTTCAATAATGACCTTGTCTACGTCGATGGCTACCTCACTAATGTCCATCTTTAAAGCCTTCTCTTTTAGAATTTTTACATCATAAATATCTATCGTAAATTTGCAAATCTCATTTCTCCACAAAAGATTAATATCTAGGAAAATGAACGGATTTGACTCACTACCAGTTTCAAATTGTCATTCTTGGCATCTAGAAGATTGGAGCAACGGATATCAGACTGTCCATATAATATCTAGTTAAGATAAAATATGTTAGCATAAACAAAAGAAAAAAACAATTCTCATACCGAAAAAGATGCACCATCAGCAATAAAAGAACTAAAGTCGTCATCTTCCAACTGTTTTGTAAAATAAAATAATGCAATTGCTTAGTAATCAATAAGTACCTCTTGTGCACTAAACAAGGATTTCAAGTTAGTGGCATTTTCTCTTAGGCCAATTTCAACAAGGTCAGTGATTTTCCGCAAAGCTTGAGCGCATTCAAGGCCGGCAGAAATTCCTATCTGGATTATCAAATCTCATTTGAGCAAATTAGTCAATAGAGAAACAAACAGACCTGCTTATCAAAGGCTTTATAATCGAGTATAGCATCCACAACTGCAGAACTAGCCCAGCTACCAACAACCAAGTGAGGATATTTAAGCCTGAACCAAGCACTTAGAGCACCAGAATATGAACCCCCAATAACAATCCACTTGTTTGCATGCTTATTGCATTTTTTATTTATAAATGTCTAAAGAAGAACCAACCAGTTTCTAGGTAGTTTGCAACGTTTTGTAAATCACGTACCTGGTAGTATTCAATAAATGCAGCATGATCAGCCAAGGATTGCTCTACGGTCAAATATTTGAAGTCTTTTGATGGAAAACTGTAGCCATAGTAACGGTGTTCAAGTGTTACCACACCTGCCTTAAACTGTCGAGCTAAATCCTACAAAGTTATAAGAAAAGTTTATGAAAGTAGCAAGCAAAACTTGTAAAAATTTCAGTCATCGAAGTAAGTACCTTTGAGGGAAATCCCGGGTATCCTGCACAAATATGTGGACAAACAGGTAAACGCTAGCTAGCTAAACCACATATCTCTGGATCAAAATTGGCTGAGAGTAGCGTAAGTCACAGCCGATAGTGCTGCAAGTTGATACGAATGAAAGTAGCGCTTTCTCTGTATGTCGAGCCTAAAACCATGGCGGCCTGGGCCAAACCCCTGGCAGGTGATTGTCAAGAGAAGAAGAAAAGCAAGCAGAAAAATAATCTTGAGCATTGAGAACTTTGCAAGAAATTAAAGCACAATTGATATTGTTATATAGCAATAATGAGTGCCAAATTGAGATCCTCTCAACTAATTTTCTCGTTTTGAACGTACACAAAAGAGGATTGGAAGAATCGCGGGTGGCGCATTCTGAGAATATCAAACCCGGTCTCCCATTTGGACGTTTAGAGACCCCGTCCTCGTGGACGAATCAAACACGTACTCCGCGCGAATCTCACCCACCTTTACACCCAGCCCCAAAAGGATCCCAGTGTCTTCGTTCCTCCAAAACCTTACTCCTCGATCGAGAGCTGCGAAGGACTCGACATAACTGTAAGCGTAGTGCTGCCTCCGGATTGGAACGCGCGCTTCGGCCATTAGCTGCTTGAGACGAGCAAAAGCATACGAAGTTTTACTGCGAAGGAACGAAAGAAATGGTGGTATTACCTCGAAAAAGCTCCAGCAGCTTGCGTTTGAAGCGCGAGGATTTGCAAAAGCTAGATAGCTTGGAGCCATCCCCAACATGCCACCATAGCGTGCTCGGAGAATCACCAGCGGAAAGGAGTCGGGAGTAGTGGAAGGCAGCGGCAAGAATCTCGTCGTCGAGAGGAGGTGCTTGTTGAAAAACGACGTCGTCTTGCTGCCAAGGCCGACACCTTGATCAACCTGTGAGAGTGAGAGCAGCATGAAACTTTGAGCGAGGCAAAATATTAAAATGATAAACGCCTTGCCTGGAATGTATCAATTGCCCCGACTCGCGCACCATGCACGAGACGGGTGTTGTCTCGAGTGATCTTGACATTGAGAAACGGGACGCGGTCGATACCATCTGATAACAAGTCTCGATCGTCAGGCGTTTGCACCGGTCCAAGAACGTCCCGTGTTGACACTTCTTCTACCACGAACCCGTAAACTAGCTTGCTCCCTTTGGAAAGTTTCTGCAAGGGAAATAGTGAGAAAAGCACCATGTTTCCGCAATGGATTTACCTCTGTGATGCTTGTTTTGAACCCAGCATGGTCCACCCAAACCACAGGCGTCTGCTCTCGACTCGTGGGATGCGAGAGAACCGCCGTCAGCTTCCTCGAATTGTAACAGCCGACTCGAAAAATCTTGTCTTTCGGGCCGTCAACATACGGGTGAGCATACTCCAACTTAAATTGAGAGTCATCCTGTTGTCACAGCTAGATGTTGGCTCCTGCGGAAATAAATTGCGACCTTACTTGAGGACGCAAAAGATCGTTTGAGTTGATAGATCCATGCAGAGTTCTGTTCTTCCCGGCAATGTTTCGGTGCTCTACGGACAGAGTTCCAGCTGGTCGAATCGAAGCCTGCCATCCAATTAGACAAGCACAAAAAAAGAGAGATTCAAAAACAATACCAGGATCGGTTTTCCAGAATCGGAAGAAAAGAAGCTCAATCCCGTTTGGAAGTCGCACGCATCCTGCGGTTTTTCTTGGATGAAGAATCGAAGCGAAACTCCATCCAGATCATTCCTCCTGACATCCACGTTTACTTTTTCAAAAAGTTGGAGCTGCCGCAAGCTTTGCAGTGCTTGCTTGATCGCATTACTGTTGTAAGGCATCCCTTCCATCACCTAACAACAGAAAGAAAAAAAAGAAGCGAGCTACGAATGAATAACCAGCGCAAGAAGAAAAACAAAAAGAGAGAAAGAACTTACAGTTCGTGGAAGCTCTCGAAAGATAGTTTCTCTCGAAGTTAGACCCTGGATCGCATTACCCTCCACATCCTTGAAGGAAACTCTAGTGTCAGTGATGGTTCCTTCGCTGACCCTGCAGCATAACACTCCAGTTGAGGATCCAGTGAAGCCTCTCACTTTGGCCAATCCAAACCCCTGTCGACGATACCAGTTCTCCACCTCTTCCTTGATCCAAACCAAAGTGTTCCTATCACCATAGCATCCCCGGCGCACTAGCTGGCTCGTGATATCAGCCTGGACGAAGCAAGGAAGCAAACAAGGCCCCCACAGTTCATCCTCCCTAGCGAAAGCTCTCCACCCATGATCATCGCTAACAGGACCGACATTTACGCAGTAGAACGCTCTAATCCTTGCCGGGACCGAGGACGATGATTCCTCTTCCTGTGTTTCTTCCACCATGGAAGAACTAACTCTCCCAGAAGGGAGCGAGAAATCCCATCCATCGTGTTCCTGGAACCCAGAATCATTGCCGCTGTTACCCCGATTACCGCCACTGCCGCCGCCCGCGCCAGTGAATGGAGTGGACTCTATCGGATTTCCCGACTCCCCTCGCGGCTTGGAAGGATTTCCAGGAGCGCCGGCGAGCGATGTGATCTTCTTGAAGAATCCTAGCGAGCATGTCCGGACAGGAGCTACCGGCGGCAAATCGAATGGAGTGTGAAATGCGAGCTCCAGGCGAGCACGATGAGAATGGAGATCAAACCTGGCTGCTGCTGGTGCTGCTGTTCCAAGCGCCTGGATCGAGCAGCAGCTCATCTTAGAACCCTAGATTCCGCGACCGATCAATCGACATGTAGAAATATTTCGGGGAATTCCTGCCACGTCGAGAACTTCTCATAAACCCTAAAATTCATTTTGCCCTTGTAAATAAAACCCTCTAAGCATAAAATACAATTAGTAGGAATCACAAAAGCGGGGATAGCTCAGTTGGGAGAGCGTTAGACTGAAGATCTAAAGGTCGCGTATTCGATCCACGCTCACCGCAAAATATCCTTTACAGTTCTCTTTCCAAATAACTGTTGTTAGAGCTCTCTTCTATATAATTTTTTGGAGGTTGAGACAGAAAAAACTGTTCTCCCTGTAAGCTAGTTGGACGACGATTCGATGAGACACGAGAAGATCTCCAGAAAAACAAGACAAAACCTTCTCCCGGCAAAGATTCATCGCTTAGATTGCATTGTGCCGCCTAGCAAAGCAAGCAAGGACGACACATATGATCAGCTTACGAAAGCATATGAGCGTTCATTACGGATCTCCTCGGCTGTGAAACGCTTTTCACCGGACTGGCACGAACAATACGACGTTGCTCCGCTTTTGATGATCATCACTGTGTAAGTTCCCTGGAATAAAGCCTGAAGCAAAGCAAGAGAGGAAAAGTATTAGAACAACAACCGCAGTGAAATCCACGACACAAGCAAATGTAGAAGCTCACCACACAAGAGCAAAAGTAGAAGCTCTGTTACCTTAGAGACTTACCATTTCCGGGATTCTTGTTCTCAGCCAACAGTTTTTCCAGGCATGCAGCTCTGGATAATCTCGTTGCTCGTCGCTATAAAACCGGAACCATCTCCGGAGCAAGCTCAGTGTCTCAGGCTCTCTTTTTCTCCCTGGCTTGCCTCCCCAAAGCATTCTCGACTCGATCATCATGGGGTCGTCTTCTGGATTCGATTGGTGGATCCTCACTCTTCTGCCTTTCTTCTCCCGGCATTTGCCTGGTGAAGCCAACGATCATGCATGGCGACTTATCGCTGCTGCTCTGGCCATGCTGGTTGTCGCCGTCGTCTCGGCGATCCTGGCTCCTTGGCTTGTTCCCGGTGGCAATGCATGGGGGAGGACGCTGAGGAAGAAGCAGACGATCCCGGGACCCCGAGGATGGCCAGTGCTTGGAGTCCTGACGGAGATGGGAAGCCAAGCCCACCGAAAGTTGGCCAAGCTTGCTGAGAAGTACCATGCAAAGGAGCTCATGGCCTTCAGTCTGGGTAACACGAGGATGATCATCACCAGCAAGCCGGAAGTGGCACGAGAGCTGCTCAACAGCTCCGAGTTCGCGGACAGGCCCCTCAAGCAGTCGGCTCAGCAGCTCCTTTTTGGACGAGCAATCGGCTTTGCTCCCTATGGAGATTACTGGCGTAACTTGCGAAGGATTGCCTCCAACTATCTGTTCTCTCCACGCCAGATTGCTGCTCACGAGCCATCTCGTCAGGAGGAGACGAGCAGGATGATCAAAGCGATGAGTACCTTTGCAGCGGATAATCACGGCCTTGTCCGAGTCCGGGACTTTCTCCAGCGAGCTTCGCTCAACAATATCATGCAGACTGTGTTTGGCAGGAGGTTCGAGGATGGCTCTGAGGACGCTGCTGAGCTCGCTGAGATGGTGAGAGAAGGCTTCGAGCTGCTTGGTGCGTTCAACTGGGCTGATCACTTGCCAGCTCTCAAGGCAGTCGATCCCCAGAACATCCTCCAGCGCTGTGCTGTGTTGGTCCCTCGAGTGACGAGCTTTGTTCAGAAGATTATTGATGATCACCGCCAGCAGGAGGTCAAGACCGCAGAGCCCGACTTTGTTGATGTGCTGCTCTCTTTGGATGGCGAGGACAAGCTTGACGACGCCGACATGATCGCTGTTCTCTGGGTAAAAACGAAAATGTTTTACGACTTCCATGATGTTTTCCATGCTGTGATTTCACAGGAGATGATTTTCCGAGGCACTGACACCGTTGCTCTCCTCACCGAATGGATTCTCGCGGAGCTCGTCATCCATCCTGAAATCCAAAGCAAGTTGCACGATGAGATCACTAGCGTGGCTGGAAAGTCTGAAGTTGCTGAGTCTGACCTCAGCAAGATGGTGTACCTCCAAGCTGTCGTGAAGGAGACTCTTAGGATGCATCCACCGGGTCCCTTGCTCTCTTGGGCTCGGTTGGCGATCCACGACGTAACCTTGGCCGGTCACCACGTCCCTGCAGGCACCACGGCCATGGTAAACATGTGGTCCATCACTCACGATCCTTCCATCTGGTCCGAGCCTGAGAAATTCAACCCGGAGAGATTCCTTGAGCAAGACATCGACGTGAAAGGAACCGACTTACGTCTCGCTCCATTCGGAGCTGGTCGGCGAGTGTGTCCCGGACGAGCTCTCGGCCTTGCGACTGTTCTCCTCTGGACTGCTCGACTGGTGCAAGAGTTCGAGTTCCAGACCGACCCAGCCCATCCCGTGGATCTCACTGAGGTTCTCAAGCTGTCCAGCGAAATGGCTGCACCACTTGTCTGCACAGCAAAGTTGCTGTAGCGCGTTAGTTTGAAGCTCTTAAATAAAACGACAGTGCTACTGAGTAGAATTCTTTGTGCAACAGAGAGCAATTTGTTACTTAATGGAGGTGACCGGTGTAACAGCTTGAGAATGAACGTCATGTCACCGAATTAACGGCACCAATCCGACAGAGGCCTGGAATAGAGGTTCCACTGCCGAACAATGAGGGACTAGATTGCTGGAGGAAGAGCTTCGCTCATATACGTTGCACAAATCTACAATATTATATAGACAATAACTACAATAGCAAACTTTGATGTACCTTTGGATCACAGCCTATGTAAAATGAAACTCCCTCCAGTCGCTACAGAGACTGCTGCAGCAATGTGCGCGGGTGCCACAGATCTTGGACATTCCTTCCCACTCACCGGGTGGAAGTCTGCAAAAGGTAGTGACAGGTTAAACTTTTGAGAAAAATCCAAATGGAAGAGCAGAACTAGAAATTGGCACTTACCAATTCGAGCATGCTGCTCCTACGCCAATAATTTCCAAGCATGCACTTCCGGATAACTCCTTCCTTGCCACTATAAAACGAACCATCTCTCGAACGAAGAGCAGCATCTCGTGCTCTTCTCTGGCTGTCCTCCTCAACGCAATCGCGATCATGGAGTCTTCTGGATTTGATTGGTGGATCCTCACTCTGCCTTTTTGTTCCCGGCATTTGTCTGCCGACGCCAACGATCATGCATGGAGAGTTGTCGCTGCTGCTCTGGCCATGCTGGTTGTAGCTGCCGTCTCGGCGATCCTGGCTTCTTGGCTTGTTCCCGGTGGCAATGCATGGGGGAGGACGCTGAGGAAGAAGCAGACGATCCCGGGGCCCCGAGGATGGCCAGTGCTTGGAGTCCTCACGGAGATGGGAGGCCAAGCTCACCGAAAGTTGGCCAAGCTTGCCGAGAAGTACCATGCGAAGGAGCTCATGGCCTTCAGCCTGGGTAACACGAGGATGATCATCACCAGCAAGCCGGAAGTGGCACGAGAGCTGCTCAACAGCTCCGAGTTCGCGGACAGGCCTCTCAAGCAGTCGGCTCAGCAGCTCCTTTTTGGACGAGCAATCGGCTTTGCTCCCTATGGAGAGTACTGGCGTAACTTGCGAAGGATCGCCTCCAACTATCTCTTCTCTCCGCGCCAGATTGCTGCTCACGAGCCATCTCGTCAGGAGGAGACGAGCAGGATGATCAAAGCGATGAGTACCTTTGCAGCGGAAAACCACGGCCTTGTCCGAGTCCGGGACTTTCTCCAGCGAGCTTCGCTTAACAACATCATGCAGACGGTGTTCGGCAGGAGGTTCGAGGATGGCTCTGAGGATGCTGCTCGGCTCTCTGAGATGGTGAGGGAAGGATTCGAGCTGCTCGGTGCGTTCAACTGGGCCGATCACTTGCCAGCTCTAAAGGCAGTCGATCCGCAAAACATCCTCCAACGCTGTGCTGTGCTGGTTCCCCGAGTGACGAGCTTTGTGCAGAAGATCATTGACGAGCATCGCCAACAGGTTACCAAAGCTGCCGAGCCTGACTTTGTGGATGTGCTGCTCTCGCTGGATGGTGAGGACAAGCTCGAAGACGCCGACATGATCGCAGTTCTCTGGGTAAGCAACCGACATTATTCTTGTTTCTTGTTTCCACAGCTTACATGTTGAATGCTTCGCAGGAGATGATTTTCCGAGGCACTGACACCGTTGCCCTTCTCACCGAGTGGATTGTCGCAGAGCTCGTCCTCCATCCTGAAATCCAGAGCAAGTTGAGAGATGAGATCATTAGCTTGGCTGGAAAATCTAGAGTTGCCGAATCCGACCTCAACAAAATGGTGTACCTCCAAGCTGTGGTGAAGGAGGCTCTTAGAATGCATCCTCCGGGTCCCCTGCTCTCTTGGGCAAGACTGGCAATTCACGACGTAAGCTTGGCCGGGCACCACATCCCTGCAGGCACCACGGCCATGGTAAACATGTGGTCCATCACTCACGATCCATCCGTCTGGTCCGAGCCTGAGAAATTCAACCCGGAGAGATTCCTTGAGCAAGACATCGACGTGAAAGGAACCGACTTACGTCTCGCTCCATTCGGAGCTGGTCGGCGAGTGTGTCCCGGACGAGCTCTCGGCCTTGCGACTGTTCTCCTCTGGACTGCTCGACTGGTGCAAGAGTTCCAGTTCCAGGCAGACTCCCTCCATCCCGTGGATCTCACCGAAGTTCTCAAACTCTCGAGTGAGATGGCTACACCTTTGTTGGTAAAGGTCCTCTAGCAGTTTAAAGTTCCTATAGCAGTTTGTACTTTAAATTTTTTTCAGTGAATAATACTGAAGACAGGTAGTTTACCTGAAAGCAGTCGCCTAGTTTTCTGATGGGAACGTCTTGGATTTTTTCTTTTGCACAAAGTACGTCTCGCAGGACCCTTGTTGCCGAGGATACTCTGCGATCGGATGCAAAACGCGGGAGCAAAGCGGCTTGCTGGCGTGCGGCAGCTCCAGAGACATAGCAACTGGCAGTAAGCTCCAGTTGCATGCCGTCGAAAGTGGTCTCAGCAGCATAATGAGCATGTATGCCAAGTGCGGTAGCATGTCCCAAGCTCGCAGTGTTTTTGACAGCATCCACTTCAAAGATATCGTCTCTTGGAACTCCCTGCTTGTTGGATATGTCCAGAATGGTGACAGCCATGTCGCTGTCGATCTCTTCTGGTCGATGCAACAGTCTCCTGACTCCCGAACTTTCGTCGCCGCGCTGATGGCCTGGCCCCGCAAACTTCGTCCTCTTCAAGTTTGAAGTTGCTCCTTGATATAGGAACCCGAATCCAATTGCAGGCACAGAGCAGTGGCTGCGTTCCAGTATCGGACAGAGCCATAATCTCCTCTCCTGGACTGCTCTTGCTCCTTGTCCGGATGCTCCCGCTTTCGTTGGCTTGCTCCAGCTTGGCTCGCCAAGAATCGGCCCAAAGTGTGAGCGCGTCAAACTTAAGTCCCTGGAGAGAGGAATGCCGCTCCACGCTAGAGCAGGCAAGCAGGGACTCATCCGCAGCATGTACGTGGCCACTGGAGTACTTGACATGTTCACAAACTGCGGAAACCTGCTCAATGCTCGCGTATCTTCCACAGCATGGCTTTTCACGACGTTGTTCTCTGGAACTCTTTAATCCTCGGCTACGTAGAGAATGAAGAAGCGGAGCTCGCATTGCAGCTGTTTTCGAGGATGGGTTCCGCCAATGCTCGGACTTATGTCGCAGCTTTCTGCGAGCGGATGCCACACTGAGGCCTTCGTAGCCAACAGTCTGGTGGACATGTATGCTAGGTGTGGAAGCCTGGACGAATCTCGAAAAGTTCTCGATACCATCGAGCCTCCAAATGCGGCTTCCTGGACTGGGTTGCTGCTTGGATACGTCGATAGCGGCAAATACCAAAAAGGTCTTGAGCTCATTAGACGCAGAAGGTTCACGCCAGATGCTCGTTGCTGCATTGGTAGCCAGCGGCAGATTAGTCGACTTTTAGGCTGGGAAGAATCGTACTCTCAGCTTGCAGTCACGCCGGCCTCGTCAACAAAGGAAAGATGTTCTTCCAGATGAACGAATTTGGAGCACCTGTGGAGGCACAGCATTACAGCTGCATGATCGATCTTCTTGGTCGTGCAGACCGCTTAGATGAAGTTATTGAGCTTCTCGGAAAGATCCCTGAGCGAGCCGACCAAGCAACTTGGATGACGGTCCTGAGTGCCTGTTGGAAATGGAAGAACGTAGCCGTTGGCGAGCTCGCTTTCCAATCCTTCTCAAGTTGGATGGTGAAAATGCTGCTGCATACGTCCTCATATCGAACATCTATAACGGTGTCCTTTTCTGCTGAAAACTAGTTGGAATCACCAAAAGTTACCGCAGGAACACTTGCCATCCTCGAACGTGTGGAAACGCCCCCCGTCTCTACAAATGATCGTCCTCTTCTCGATCCTTGAGATAATTGCAGTGGCATTGTGACAGTCGTCACAGACTCTTAAGTTTTTGCCGATCCGGATAGGACTGCCTGGGGGCGAATTGATCAAAGCACAGCCGATAGCGAGCCTCTCGCTGTGTCCACACAGTGAGCTCTCCATCTTTTCATCGGTCGAGAACTTGTGTGCAGCACTCCCGGCGTCAGTAACATAACCGTGTTCCTTCATCTCTCCTAGCAGCTTCTTCAGCTTTGCGTTGATCTCTTTAATTTGCGGATGTGAGCTCTCGTGAGCCATGAACCTGTGAACTTTACCATCCCTGTCATTCCACCAACTCTGTCCTGCTTCTTTCCAAGCTCCTGATTCTCTCATTCTGGCTAGAACCCCCTTTTTATCCTCCCACCTTCCTAAACTCCCGTAAAGATTTCCCATCAGTGCATAAGCAGCACCATCACTTGCATCGAATGTCAGCAGCGTTTCAAAAGCCAGCCTTCCGAGCTGAATATTCTTCCACTTCTTGCTCGCAGCAAGAATAGCCGTCCACGTAACAGCATCTGCTTCAAATGGCATTATCTTCAAAGTCTCCACTGCACAATCTAGATGGTTAGATCGTCCCAGAAGATCAATCAGGCACGTATAGTGCTGAGAATTTGGACTTACGCCGTATCTTGGCAGCATCTCCTCGAAGATAGACTTGGCCTTGTCTACTAAACCAGCGTGACTGCATGCGTTTAAGAGGGAAAGAAAAGTGATTCCATTTGCTGGCACGCCTTCACGTTGCATTATCTCAAACAAATCGAACACTCGGCCTGCATTTCCTTGGTAGCCATATCCAACCAGCAAAGCATTCCACTGCACGCAATCCTTGTCAGAACTTGCTGTGGTGTCAAACAGATGCTCCGCAAGCAATAGGGAGCCACACTTACCATAAAAATCCACCAAAGCATTCGCAACAGCGTCGTAACTTTCTAGTCCTCGCCTGTAGATATCCGCCTGGATCCTCCTCCCTGTTTCCAATGCTACAACACTTCCACATGCCCCGAGAACAGCAACAAACGCCCGAGCATCTGGAAAGCAGCCGGAAGAACTTAAGCACGAAAAGTTTTCCAATGCCAGGAACTCCTCGCCATTGTCTGCATAACCAAGTATGAGCGCCGTCCAGGACACAATGTCATAACGTACCATGCTGTCAAAAACGCGACGGGCATCCACCATGCTCCCACACTTCGAGTAAGTATCGATCAGTGTGTTTGCCAAGAAGATTTCCGAGTCGTATCCACTTGTTGCAGATTGTGAGTGGATAGACATCACACTTTCCAAGCAGCTGAGTTTTACAGGCCTCTCGGAGACTTGTTTCCCAGCTTCAGCTGTTGCCAGATTTGCACAGGCCGTAAGTGCAGCCGTGAAGAGCCCGGGATTCGACGACCGTTTGCCTGTCTGCATGCACGAGAACAGGTCAATAGCAAGCTTGTTTTCGTCATTCTCTACATACCCGAGAACCATTGCAGTCCTTAGAACCGCATCGTGACGAGGCACACGGTCAAAAACCATGCGAGCATCCGCCAGGCTCCCGCAGTTGGCGTAGACTGACACCAGCGTGCTTGCTACGAAGATGTTTTCCCAACAGCTGAGCTTCACAGCCAGAGAATGCAGCTCCATCCCTCTTTGGAGACTTTCAAGTTTCAAAAGCCTGCCATCCGTTTCCATGCCTTGCTCTTTCTCTGCCAGACTCGCACAAGCCGTCAATGCAGCCACGAAGGCTCGAGCATCTGGTTCATATCCCAAGGAGAGCATCCGAAAGAAGAGTCCCAAAGCCACGCCGGGCTCGTCATTCTCTGCGTAGCCGAGAACCAGTGAAGTCCAGGAAACGACGTTGTGAACCGGCATCCTTTCGAAAACTTTCCGCGAGTCGTCCATGCTACCACACTTGGCGTACATATCCACCAGCGTGCTTGCCAAGTAAAGTTGTGAGTCCACCCCTACTGCTACGGCCTGAGAGTGTATAATCTTTCCTGTTTCCAGATACTTGAGGCTTACGAGTTTGCCATCGACCCGGCTTCTCACGTCGCTTGCAGCGAGCTTGGTGCAGGCCATCAGAGCAGCTGTGAAAGTTCTAGCGTTCGGGGCGGCATTCGAGCTGCGTTGCATGGCCGAAAAGCTTCGCAGAGCCAGCGCACTATCCCCGTTCTCGAAGTATCCGAGAATCAATGCGTTCCAAGGTACAGCATCGCGGACGGGCATGAGGTCGAAGACTTTCTGAGCATCCGGCATGCTCCCGCATTTGGCATACATATCTACCAAGGTGGTTGCCACGAAAATGTTTGAACTGAATCCACGTTTTGCAGCATCTTCATGATGCTGTCTCCCAGCTTCAATATCTCCTGTTCTAGTGCATTCCTTCAGTGCTCTCAGCAAGGATCCAACGTCGCTGAAACTTTGGCTGAAACGAAACAAGAAACGGGATCAAGCGGCTGCGTCAAAACCACAGAAAAGTAGCTTACATCTTTCGCCCAGAGCATGATGAAGAGAAGCGAATGAAGACGCTGCCATTCGTTGCCACTTTGGAACCCTACTTAAACTTCCCGGTCTCTGTCCAGCCCGGAAAAAGGCTCAAATGCGAATTTTCCCACCTGACCATTCTCCCACTTTGCGCAGGCACCCAAAACGGTCATCCAAGCTACCGCGTCCGCTTTGAGAAGGCATGCTTTCCAGCACCTTCACGGCTTCGTCTAGATGGTTGGCTCTTCCCAGCAGATCGATCATGCCGGTGTAGTGCCGAAGACTTGGAGCAACGCCATGCTTGCGTCTTGCAGCGCTTCAAAGCACTTCTTCCCCTTTTCAACAAGACCAGTATGACTGAATGCCGTGAGAAGCGAGACCAGAGTAGCCTCAGTCGCACATAAGCCTTCGTCCGCCAGCCTTCGAAATACTGCTACTGCGTGAACTGCATTCCCCTGGTGGCTATATCCCATTATCAACGCATTCCACGCACCGATTTCTCTTGTCATTGCCGTGGTATCAAGGAAGTACTGGGCCGCAGTCATGTCCCCACACTTTCCATAGAAGTCCACCAGGCATGGTGTTACGGTCCCATCGTTCTCAAGCCCAAGCGTGTATCTCTCTCCCTGAATCTGACGTCCAATGTCTGGCCTCACTATAATGCCACAGGCGACGAAAGCAGCAGCTAAAACTCGCGCATCTGGTTTGCACGACGTATCAGCACGCATTTCGAAAAAGAAATCCAGAGCAGACTCACCTTTGCTTGCCTCAAAATCATCACTGTCCAGGACACAATGTCACGAAGCTCCATCTTCTCATACACTCTGCAAGCATCGTCCAGCCTTCCACATTTCGCGTAGGTATTAATCAGCGTGTTTGCCACGGATGTCTTGTCACACAACTTGACAGCTTCAGTTTCCAGGTATCTCAGTTTGTGAAGAACGAACTCTTGCCGCTTCCCTGTGGATGGCAGCACCTCTAGCCAAACAGCCCACCTTCAGCACTTTCCCTTCAACCTTCTTTCCTTCCTCGCGCTCGGCCAGATCCGAGCATGCCTCGAGAGCAGCTAGAAGAGTAGTCTCGTTCGGTGTACACCCTTCCGCCACCATCTGTTCGAACACCTCCCCACAGCCTCCTCGTTCTTCCCGTGCTCCACATACCGGCATTCCACGACACTGTGTCGTGGAAAGCCATCCTGTCAAAGGCCCTCCGAGCGTCGCCCAGCCTCCCACACTTGGCATGCGTGTCCACCACCGCCGTGGACACGAACACGTTTGAGTCATACCCGGCCTCCAGAACTTGAGAGTGTAGTGCCATCCCTCTCTCCAGGCTCTTGAATCGATCGTTCCCAGCGGAGACGCGGGCCGTCACGCGACGAACGTTCTCGCGCTTGGAGAGCATCCCTGTTGCTAGAGACGCGAGAACAAGTAATCGCTGCCAAATTAACTCTTACCACGCTCGAGGTCCTTCAAGCCATCAATCCCGCCAGGAGCGATCGATGATCGTGTTTTCCACGCCTGGACACGATTTCCACTGGATATTTCGGAAGAATATCGAAGAAAGACTCACGATTCACGCTCCACTGCGATTGATCCCTCCAAAAATCCGTCATTGTCTTGATCCAATCCTCGCTCTTCCCTGAAAATCGCATGAAATAAGAAACAAACGTAACGGATCACGTACGATCTCTCGATCAAAATGCTCGATCCTGCTCCTAGACGTCTTGACTCACATCGGCCGCGCAATGCCGCCGGGGAATCCAGCTGCGATGCTGCTGAAGACCTGGCGCTCGATCCAAAACGCGCTGCTGCTCCTGGAGATCGTCCGCGCAATGCCGCCGGCGAATCCACGCATCACATTGCTGTGCTTTAGGGTTTTGTCATTCATTCACAAACTAGAATACCTTTACACATGATCTACTACACAAAATTTTGTTTGCGTGGTTCTTTCTAAGCTAATGTTTGGACTTGGTCGGACGTTCTTAGCCAGAGATGCCGACCAAGCAATGCGCTCTCTCTCATGGACATATAAGCAGCGTTTAACCTGTAACACCATCCAAAAAACGAAGGATTTAAGCACCATTTCTCCATCAAGAAAGAATTTCTCAAACCTGTCAATGTCTGGAGGAGCAAGTGGATCGAAAATCTCGTCATACTGGCCATCGATCTGAGAAGAAATCGCTGCAAAGTTACATGAAGCTCAAGCGAAGAACACGAACTACCTGGTGATATGGTGTGTAATAGGCGCTGTAGCCCTCTTGTCCAGGAGTGTAAGCGTATCCTTCGTATCCTTGGTAGCCATAGTAGGAATTCCATTGTGTTTGTGCTGCGTCTCTCCAAGGTGACGTTGGAGCCTGCTGCTTATAATATATAGAGACTTAGACTATGATCGAAGCTCAAGAAAAACTTATACCTGCTTAGTGGATGTTGGGCTTCGTCCCCATGAGAGTCGTATCGCTTGCTGACCGATTACAGTACCATGAAGCCGCTGTAATGCATCTTCAGCAGAGTTTCTACGTGAAAGAAGAGGATCAGATGCTAGAACAAAGGTGAGCTTGTTACCTCTGAGCGTATTGAACAAACGCACAGCCTTTACCAGGAGGTATCTTGACAGACACGAGCTCTCCAATATGAGAAAACGTTTGCTTCACTTCCTCTTCAGTGATATTGAGATCAAGGCCACCAACGAAGATCTGCCGAATGCACCAGAAAGTTGGTCCAGAAAACTGAAAAGTAAATAAACTCACCGTTGTGTTTGTGGGATCGCTATCTGGAGGTAGGACTTGGGATTGAATGGATAACGAAGGAGGCGGAGTAATACTGTAAGGCATTGTTTGATACGTAGTCGTGGTAGTCGCTGCTGCGAGGCAAAATAAGATTTAGAACAACATACAATCAAAGAATCCAGAATCCAGTGATGATGAAACCAGATATAAATATGAAAAATGAAGGAACAAATCGACACACTACCACCTTAAAACCACTGATCATGGAAGAGCCGTGTCCGATGAAACACCGAAATTGAAAAAGCCACCACTGACGCACCTAGAACAGACTAAGCTAAGGTTCGTGAGCAAGATACATCAGTCAAAACCAGAAAAGAAAAAGAAAGAGAAAACTGGAAAGAGCATGCGTAGTTTACCATGAAGCTGTTACCTTTGAACGGTGATGCGATCGTTGGCTGCGGGACAATCGTAGCAGCAGTAACAGTAGTGAGACCAGCAGCCATAGCTTTCTTGGGAGTCGCGGCACTTATACGCATCGGCCGACTCGAGCAGTAAACTCCATTCATCTCGGACATGGCACGAGCTCGCTCGTTCTCGTCGGCAAATCTCACGAAGCCGTATCCTTTGGAGCGGCCTGTGACTGCATCAATGACCACCTTTGCTCCTCTCACTGATGGAAACCGGGTCCGGAAGGTTTCGTGGAGCATGTAGTCCGTAACATCGGGTGCCAGGTCACCCACAAAGATGGAGAGCTCGGGACCTCCATCCATGCGTTTCTCGCCCATGCCAAACGAGGCCCAGTTCAAGCGAAAAGCTTGCTCGGTTTGTGGCATCTGTGTTCCGTTGTAAGCCAGAAGAACTCGCTCGGCAGCCGGGTGAGAGTTGAACTCGATGAATCCGTATCCTTCGGGATAACCAGTTTGCTTGTTGCGGATAACTTTAGCTGATAAAACCTGTAGAGAAGATCAGCTCACTAGAACTTTCAGGATTCACGAATTCATAGAAAGAAAAAACTCTAGGACGAGCATAAAAAACTCACAGCAAATTTTTAAAGCAGATCAGCTCACTAGCACTTACAGGATTCACGAATCCATAGAAACGAACATACAAAACTCACAGCAAATTCTTGAAGCAAGAAAGAAGATCAGCTCACTAGCATTTCCAGGATTCAAATTCATAGAAGAAAACTCTCATACAGCAAATTTTTGAAGTAGAAAAGAAGATCAGCTTACTCGAAAGCAAGAACCCGAAGAGCATTCATAGAAGGACGAAAGAAGAAAATCTTACCTCTCCGGTGTGTGCGAAGAGATTGCGGAGGTAATTTTCGTCCATCCAGTACTGGAGATCGCCAATCCACAGCGTTCTCACCTCCTCCAGCGTCATGGGATGATGATGGCTGCCAAATTGCTGCTGCCATTGCTGCTGCTGCGCCTCGGCCGCTGCCATAGCCGCGCCCTGGACTCGAAGAACACTCTCCAAAATAAATGCCCTAAATAACCAACAAAAAGGAAGCAAACCAAGCAAGTAGTCTATGCTAGAAAACTCCAACTTGGCTCGCAACATTGCCTAGCGTCCTGCCTTTCTCACAAGCCATGCCCATCCTCGCCATGGTCGATCGCAGACACGATTACTCTTCGACAAATTTGCAGCTCTTCCTTGCGATTTTCGCCATCCAGATGTTTTCCAGATGATTACGACTCCAGATATTTGACAGCTTCGCCAAAAAACGTTCATATTTCCCCAGACTTTAAGAATTAGGCAAATGCCCTTTCAAGGGATCTGGAGAAACTAAAACTTTTGATTGATGGAATGCCCACCAAGAACAGTACTGTTACTAAACAACTTTCACTGTGTACGCTAGAGCTAGAACTATTGATCAACTTATGAAAACGTTTAAGATCATGCCAAAGAGGTATCAAATCTATTGGACAGTTCTTCTCAAAGAGCAGGCGAAAAATCAGTGTTTGATTCTTATTCTGGATTGAAAGAATCCATCCTTCTTACAAGAAATCCAAGCAACCAACGAAAGAATCCATCGTTCTTAAAAGAATCCAAGCAACCATCCAAGAAAAAGAAGAGAAGATCCAAAGGATCGCTGCCATGGCTTTTAGATTGGAGCCACTAAAACTCATTTGATCGGAGAATGCATGGTCAAGAGCAAGATCCAGACCCAGAAATGGAGGAGAGCACCAAAGATCGATCACAATCTCTGCGCAGATCTCCTTCGCCAGTGCGGGAATTCGAAGTCGCTGGATCGAGGGAAGCAGCTCCACGCGCTGGCCGCGAGCGATGGATCTGACCAATCAACATTCCTCGGCAATGCTCTGATCCAAATGTATGGGAGCTGCGGGAGCCCTGGCGACGCTCGATCGGTCTTTGACAACCTCCGTGATCGCAACGTCTTCTCCTGGAACATCCTGATCGCGGCATATACCCGGAATGGGCGTCTCGCCGATGCGAATCTTTTGTTTCGCACGGCGCCCAAGAGAGACGTCGTGACCTGGAATGAGATGGTCACTGCCTTCTCGCAAAGTGGCGATTGCGAGAGCTCTAGGGTTTTGTTCGCTCGAATGCCACGGCATGATGTGGTGTCATGGAACGCGATGCTCGCGGCATTTGCCCAGAGCGGGCAAATCGAACGCGCGAAAGCAAGCTTTGCTTCCATGCCCGAGAGGAATGTCGTGTCCTGGAACGCGATCGTCGCGGCCTATGCCCAGAACGCGCTCGATACCGCCGAGCTCCAGGTCCTGGAGAGGATGGAAGAGGAGAAGATCGAGCCCAACGCGATTACCTTTGCCGGAGCGCTGGACACCTGCGGCGATCTGGAATCCGGGAGGAAAATCCACGCCAAGATCGTGGAGCTCGGATGCGAGCAGGAGATCGCGGTCGCGACGTGCCTGGTGAGAATGTATGGGCGATTTGGGCGCGCGGAGGAGGCGAGCAAGATCTTCCTCGCGAGCTCGAGCTCCAGGGCGCCGGATTTGATCCTGGTCACGGCGATGGTGGCCGCGCACGCGCAGAGCGGGCAGAACAAGGATGCGCTGGAGCTCTTCGCGAGGATGGATCTGGATGGCGTGCAGCCGGATTGCAAGGCGCTCTCGGCGATCGTGGATGCGTGCTCGTCGAGCGCTGAGTGGAAGATCATCCATCGAAATATGCTGGAGGCCGGGATTGTGCCCGATCTAGCGCTGGGGACGGCGCTCATCAATCTCTACGGGAAATCCGGTGGAATCAAGGAGGCGAGGGCGGTGTTCTTGTCCATGGAGGAGAGGAACGAGGTCTCCTGGACGGCTATGGTGGCAGCATTTGCCCAGACTGGGCACACGGCCGAGGCGCTAGGGTTCTTCCTGGCGATGAACGTCGAGGGAATCTATCCCGACGCGATCACATTCGTGAGCGTGCTCAGCGCTTGCAGCCATGGCGGCAAGAAATCGCTGGCCCGGGACTACTTCCTCGCCCTCCAGATCGATTATGGGTATTTGCCAGGATTGAGCCACTTCGCGTGCTTGGTGGATGCCCTGGGACGATCCGGGGAGCTGGAGAATGCCCAGGCGCTGATGCGAGTGATGCCATTCGTGCCGGATGGATTGGCCTGGATCACGCTCGTCGGCGCTTGCGCTGTTCATGGCGATTGGCACAGGGCCGTGGCTGCTGGCGTCGATTCTGTGACGCTCAATTCCGAGAGCTCGGCGCCATATGTGCTCCTCTACAACATTCTAGGGTTCTTGGAACCCTAGCAACGCGAGCTCCTCTCCTCCTCCCTGCAAAGGAGGAGCGGCTTGGAGCGTGGATCTAGATGAATTTCGTCAAGGGATTTCTTCGCAGGTCGTCCGGATCGGCAGCGCCGGGGAGTTCTTCTTCGATCGCAGCTTCGTCGACGACATCCGCGACTTGGATCGATGTCCAGTTCAGGTACGAAGATCCGAGCTTCGGCATATTTGGATTTGGATAGAATCGGATTGGAATTTGCTGTGGAGCAGTGACCATGGCGTGGAGGAATCGCTCCATCACTTGTGGCAGGAATACGAGAATTTATCCAGCGAGGTACGTGATAGAAATGAGAGGAGAAGTTCTTATCCAGTGATCCTTTTTCTCTTCCTCGCAGGACAAGAGGAAGAGCTCGCTCGGGGCCTTTCTTCGCAAGTTTAACGACGTGTATGAGCGCTGGGTTCCCCTGGAAGAACACCAAAGTGGAGACGGCAAAATGGATCAAACTGGAGTTACTGGATGCTCTTTTGGTCACCCGACCGCTGTCATCCTTGGCCTTCTCCGAGAGCTAAAGCTTACGAGTGACTACATTGGAGAGTGTAAGTGGTCGATTCCTTTCACTTCTTGCCGTTTGGCTTGCTTCTCTGTATGAGCAAATGTGTATGTATGTTTTGTTTGGTTTGAGCATACTGTGTTTGAGATATGGTAATTAGCTCCGTCTTCCTTGCTCATTTGCAGTTTATCGGCTCGATTGCAGTGCATGCCAACTCCGACTCGAAAGAACCGGTTCTAGCCACGAACGAGATGGAATCTGCCTTGCGCTTGCTAAATGCTCTCAGCATTCTCAGCCGAGCATCAAATAATCGGGCGGTGTTCAGCACTTTCGGAGGCTTGCAAACTTTGACGAGCGTTATGAAAAGTATGATCACGTTATCTGTGTTGGAAGCATACTGATCTTGCGATTTTTCAGATTCGGTGGTTTATATTAAGAGCATCTCTGATGCCGCGACTCCAAACATGGTGTTGATGAGCTTTTTACAGTGCTTGCTTGCGCATGTCGTATCTATTATGGCCAATTTTATTGAGCTCGAGAAGCTGCCCGACAAATCAAGCAGAAGATCGTCGCTTGGTTTAAAAGAGAATGCCGAGGATCCTCCCAGACGCAGGCTGTCTTTTCGCCAAAGACCATCACAAACAAGTGGAGAAAATACCAGCTTTGCCTTGCTGCTCGAAACCGGCGGTCTTAACTGGTTTGTGGGTATGTTCTGCTAAATGTTATGCTTTTCCACTTATTATTCTGGTTATTCGTGTGCAGAGCTCCTTCGAGTTTTACGAAAACTTCATCTCGCCACAGATGAGCATCTTGAAAGAGTGACTTTACAAACGCTTAAAGCCGCCGTCTCATCAAGTTCCCGCGCGCAGAATCACTTCAGGAGCATCGGCGGACTTGAAGTTTTGCTAGATGGATTGGGATATTTTCGCGATGAAGGGTAAGTTGACGTTGCTCGCGCCTCCTAATACCATTGTTCATTGTTATTTACAGAAGCTTGCAAAAGCTTGTGGAGAGTTTTAATTTGCAAGTACTATCACTTGAGGTTACGAGGGAAGCCGTGTATCCTTTACTCTTTACAGTGTTGCAGCATTTTCTGTGTTCTCCTTAATTCTGAACAGATTTCGTAATGTTAACAGCTTGCAGTCAGTCTGCGACATTGGTGGCTTACACAAATTTATTCGACTGTTTCGCTGGGCCGCGTTTTCCTTTCCGGTTCTATATGCCCGCAGTACCGAGCACTTGGCAGAAATGTCTACGAGATCAAGCACTACTACACAGGAGAAGGAGAAAGATCGTTTTTTTCTTGGTATTGAAGATGTTAAGGACAACTATGGCCCTTGGAACTCCAACGTTTCTCGTCTGTGCGAGGTTCTTTGCTCGTTTGTGATTGCAACCTGGGATATCTTTTCTCTCAGTGGTCCAGCATCCCAAGAGACGTCAGGGGTGACAAGCGTCTACTGGGAAAACGCCACTAGGCTGGTTGTGAACGTTTTGCTCGGGATTTTCAGAAACTTAGACGACAACGATGAGGGGTTTCAGCATTTCAAAATGTTGTTTGCGTAACATTTTAGATGGTGACTAACTAAACTTGAACGATGTGCAGGTTGCTCTCTAGCGACTTGCAGCGTAACATCATCACCGTTTTTAAGAAAATGCTAGCGGTCTCTTCCGCGGTTTTGCAACTCTTTCGGGATGAAGGTGTTTGGACGGTCATGTTTTCGAATGACTTTTTTTATTTCGGTTTGGAGGGAAAGGAGAGTCTTGAGACACAGCCTTTACAGCTTGAAGTGATATCCTTTGTGGAGCTCGCGGCGACCACCAGTGGAAACTCCAATAATCTGGTAAAGTGGCTTCTCGGTTTTTCTTTTCTTCTGTTTACTAATTTCCTTCCCTTTGTTTGTGTAGGCAGAGTGCAACGCACTTGTTCAGAGTCTAGAGCAGTGTTCGAAGCTGCCCTCCATGGCCACGATGTTACTGAAAAGCTTGCATCGAATTTTGCAATTGACACCGGAGCTTACATCGTCGTCTTTTAAGGAACTGCAAGTTATCTTGGTTCTATCAGAAGTCATGGCGGCATTGTTGCAAGATCTAAGGCTTGATGTTGGCGACATGGAAAATTTGTTGCACTGTCGAGACGCTGCTTTCTCACTCTTCAACGAGTGCTTGAGCTTATCCGACGATGCCAAGTCTTCGGCACTGAGGAGTACGAAACTCATGGACGTTTTGTTCGGTATGATTTTGGACTCTCGGTCAAGAACTTTCGCTATTCATCACGTCAGCAATTTTATGAAGGTGACCTGTTTTTCATTCTTTTATGATTTTTCTAAGCTTCCATTTTGCAGGTCTCCCCAATCTCAGATGAGGACCAGGATGCAAAAATGGAACTCTGTATGAAATATCTGGAAACACTTTCTCGCGTGCAATCGGATCAACATTCAGCCGGAATCGATATTGTTTTGGATCTGTTATCGATTCTTCGGGATGTTCTTCAATGCGATTTTCCAGTGAGTATAAAATTTCTCTGAAACTTTATTTATCCGCCGTTTTCTTTTTGTGCAGTACTATCAAGCGCTTTTTAGAGAAGTAGAGTGCTTTGTGCATATCGTTTCTCTGCTGAATGAAGCTTATCCCGAAGAACATGGAAAGCGTTTGTGTTTAGAGGTGATAGCAACTCTCATTCATCTTCTCAAGGGAAATGAGGCTTCAAAGGTATACGAAAGCTACATTTTTACCTGCAATGAATTTGCTATTCCTGTTTCAGCTTGCTTTTAGATCCCTTGTTGGTCCAGGCTACAAGATGTTGGAGACCCTTTTAGTTAATCGTTATGGATATCCAACTCAGGACCTCCTTAACGCGCTTTGGAATATGCTAGTTGATGGCACATTTGACAATTCATCTCGCATGATTATTCAGGTGACTGCCTTGTAACTGCTAGCAAAGACTCACGTCCAACTATTTCAATGCAGAATGAAGATGTAATTGTCCTGCTTCTTAACTTTATTCATCTGGTAATAATCTCATCACAGAATTTTTCTGGCTAAGATGTTTTCTTTACATGTGCAGTGTGATCCCGAAACGCAGCTAAAAGCCCTGGACACCTTTCTCCAGTTATTAGAGGAATCCACCGCAAACCAATCTTCTTGCGTGAGAGCAGGCCTGCTTTGCAGTTTGATGGATTGGTTTTCTTCGGAGAACGAGAGCGTGGTTCTTCACAAACTCTGCCACTTTATCAAATTGGCTGGTGGTCACAGTATGGCAGGAAAGGAAATGCGAAGGATGTTTTCTCTTCTTCGGAGCACTTCGAGCTCAAAAAATAACCTCATTTTGAGCACTTTCAAGTCAATGTTAAGCGAGCAGGGACCATCTGTCTTTTTTGAGCTAAGTGGAAAGAATTCGGTGAGTTTTAATTTCGAAATCTGGATTTGTAATTTTTAACAGTATCGCATTTTTCAGGGTATTGGCATCAAAACGCCTTTCCGGTGGCCTATCAACAAAGGCTTCAGTTTTATGTGCTGGATCAGGCTAGAAAGTGTCTCTTCAGAAGGCATGATGAGTTTGTTTAGCTTTTTAACTGGCGATGGTAAAGGCTGTGCTGCGTTCATATCGGCGGACAAGTTCTTCATAGAGGTTCTTTCTCTGTTCAGTGTTGCGATTCTCGTGTTTCTGACTTTGGGTATCCATGCAGGTCGATTGTGCCAACCACAAGAAACAAGCAACTTCGATGAGTATAAGACTGGAATCAAAGAAATGGCACTTCATTTGTGTCACGCACACAACTGGACGAGCTCTGTCTACTGGAAGCTTGTGTAAAATTTTCGTCGACGGCAAACTCAGTAGCAGTGAAAAGCTGAGGTGCGTGCTAGCGTTATCTTGTCATTCAACTAACTATTACACGTTCAGGTACCCGAAAGTTTATGATCCAGTAAGTTGTACAATTGGAGCAAATGCGACTGCAGACCAATCGAGTGGTTTCTTTTCGCCATTATGTGGACAGCTTGGTCCAGTGTATCTATTTGACGATGTGTTAACTCCTGGGCAAGTTGAAGGTGTGTTTATGCTTGGTGCGGGTTACATGTACTCCTTCCTCCCCAGCGAGGCTGGCTGCATTCCAGCGAACATGTCCGATAGCAGCTTGTCCAGTTCCAAGGAGGGTCTATCTTCTAAAATGATATTCGGTTACAATGCGCTAGTACGTATAAGTATTTCATTTCTTTCTGAAATTCATGGTACTTTTGCTGTAGGCCAGCAGCGGACGCGTCCTTTTTGATGTCGCACCAGTGTCAGAGCAGTCTGACGCCGTATCTCATGAAGCTACGATCATGAGTGGTACGCAGCTTTGCTACAGGTGCCTTGTGCAGAATAATATACACTGTGTTGGTGGCATCACGGTCTTTTTCCCGTTGTTAACGCGATTCCGGCATGCCGGGAAAGATTTCGATGGATCTGTTACTGATGCAGACGACTATTATTTAGCG